AAACGTCACGAGAATTATGAATTTTAATATATTTTGTTAAAGTTAGAGTTAAAATAAAAAGGTTATAACACTTTGAATAAAAATAGATTTTCATAAAAATATGATTTATTGACATTTAGTGACTATAAAAAAAATCAGCCCTAATATAATACAAAAATGTTTATATGCTCATTTTTCATTTAAAATTATGTGTTGTTTGGTGACCCTATTTTTGAATTTATCAATCTTATCAGTCAATTTTAATATCGAGAGCTTAATTGTGTAATGATCAAAATAAGAAAGGTTGAAGTTAATTTTTTGCTTGAATTGAATGAAGTTATTATGAAAGTATGACTTATTAATTTTTAGATACTATAATTATGTTTAAAATTATATCAAAGTCACTATAAAAGTTCGGTGAAATTCATACCAATAATCCGTACTTTTGGTGGTTCTATAGTAATAATCTCTACTGAAAAAGTCAATACAAATAATCCAAACTCATAAATGTGTCTACATAGATAGATTAAACTTTCATAGATAGATTATTATCCTTCAAGATAATCATTATAGTAATGATATAAAAAACACTAAACTCAAATTTATGACAATGGTGAACAAAGTCAATATTGTATCCTTGTATATTAAATATCAAAAAGATTATTAAAAGTATAACTGCTAAAAGTATGGATTAATCTAATCTATCTATTTAGACGTGTTTATGAGTATGGATTATTTATATAGACATCTTCGATAGTGATTATTATTGTATAACTGCTAAAAGTATGGATTATTGGTATGAATTTCGCCAAAGTTCATAGACAATTTAATTTTTTTATTTACAAATATCTATATATTGGAGAGGTAATTCCTTATAGTTACTTTGATTCGGAGTATAAAACTAAAATATATTTTTTTTGCTGGAAAACGCTTATATTAAATTCAAAAATCAAACAACTAAACATCCCATATTCTGGCTACCCAAACATTTTCTCTAGACTCCTTATAGCCAATAGGCAACCTCAAAGAATAGATTGCTTAACAATGAACAAGACTAATCGCTGAGCATGCGAGAGATTCAAAGCTATTATCAGCCAAATTAGCCTGTTTGCTTCCTCCCAAACTAAAAACTGAATCCACAAAACATATTTTTCTCCCTCTAATATATAGTGTTTCTAGGTATGAGAAGATAAACTTGCTAACAATTGCCTTAATTGAATAAAGTTATTATAAAAGAATGACTTATTAATTTTTAGATACTATAATTATGTTTAAAATTATATCAAAGTCACTATAAAAGTTCATAGACAATTTAATTTTTTTATTTACAAATATCTATACATTGGAGAGGTTCTTCCTTATAGTTACTTTGATACGGAGTATAAAACTAAAATATAAATTTTTTTTGTTGGAAAACGCATATATTAAATTAAAAAATCGAACAACCACTACAAAAAACAGCTCGTTTGTCATGGATTTTTGTCACGGATACGGGCCGTGACAAAGTAGTCACGGTCTTTGTCACGGAATTGTCACGGAAGATTTTGTCACAGATTTTTCCGTGACGAAATCCGTGACAAAAATTTGTCACGGATTTAATCCGTGACAAATAGCCTTCAGTGACCGGCAATTTACTCCGGCCAAAATTTATTTACTTCCGGGCACTTTGTTACAGATGGATCTGTGACAAAATTAAAAAAAAGTTGTCATGGATCTGTCCGTGACAATGCCCGTGACAAAACCCAATAATTGATAATCTAGCGGTCACCTAATTAATGTTGTACGAAAGGTGTTTATCACGGATTTATCCGTGACAAATCCGTGACGAAAATCCCTATATATCACAACATCGTTTGATTCGAGTGATATCATTTAGAATTTAATCAGAGTATAATACAATATCTGTTGAAAGATTGAAGGATATAATCTATCAGTTTATCATTTTCTCTGTTTATGCAGATAAGGTATGTCATTTGAATTATGTATTTTTCTTAATAAATATTAAGTTTTTCATTTTAAATAATTAAAATTGTTAAATTAGTGAGGTTGTTAATTTATTAACAATATATTTAACTATAAACGTAATTTAGTTAAATTTAAATATTAGTCAATTTAAAATGGATTATAAAATTATTAGGTTTGTTAATTGTATTAGCAATTATTTTTAATGCCTAATTTACGATTTATAGTGATTTAAGTTAGGATTGAAACATTAGTTTAGTGTAAATTATTAGTTAAATGTAAATATTAGTTAATTGAATTGAGTTTGAATTAAAACAAAGTCTCTGACAAAAAAAGTTTGTCACGAATTTTTTGAACTGCAGTTCGTGACAAAATCCGTGACAAAGCTCTTATTTTTTTTTGTAGTGAACTAAACATCCCATATTCTGGGGGTCATACTCCTCTCCATTTCCTTCTCTCCATTTACTTTTTCCATTTCTTTTTTACTCTATCTCTCTCCTTAAAAATAATAATTAAACATAATATTTTCTTTTTCCTACCCCACTATTTCCCCAGCTCTCTCTATCTCTATCCTACTGGACCATTCCAGTTAATGGAGAGGAGCAAAATTCATATTCTGGCTACCCAAACATTTTCTCTAGATTCCTTATAGCCAATAGACAACCTCACTCTCTGATTAGACATATGATAGACTGCTCAATAATGAGCAAGACTAATCACTGAGCATGTGAGAGATTCAAAGCTATTATCAGCCAAATTAGCTTGTTTGCTTTCTCACAAACTAAAAACTAAAGCCAAAAAACAGAATTTTCTCTCTCTAATATATAGTGTTTCTAGGTATGAGAAGATAACCTTGCTAACAATTGAGCAGAGAACTTGAGCAGAAAAATTTTCTCTCATATGTAGTGCTTTTAGGTATTGAGCGGGAAAACTCTCTCATGTGTAGTTGTTTTAAGTATATAAGATAAGCATACTAACAATCAGGCAGAACAATGTTGTCTCTCATATGTAGTGGTTTTATATATAATAAAATAAGCTTGCTAATAATTGAGCGGGAGAATTTTCTCTCACATGTAGTGCTTCAATGTATGAGAAGATAAGCTTGCTAACAATTGAGCGGACAAATTGATTGAGAAAATTTTCTCTCTCATATGTAATGCTTTTAGATATTATTAGAAGATAAATTTGCTAATAATTGAGCGGGAAAACTCTCTCTCTCTCATATGTAGTGCTTTTAAATATAAGATTAGAAGATAAATTTGCTAATAATTAAGCGGGAAAATCTCTCTCTCATATGTAGTGCTATTAAGTATAAGATAAGATAAGATAAGATAAGATAAGTCGACTAAAAATTGAGCGTGAGAACTTTATCTCTCATATGTAGTGGTTCTGAGTAACAGAGAATAAGCTCGGGAGAACTATCAAATAAGCCCTCGAACTTTAATAAAAAGTGGAAATAAGCCCTTTTATAAGAGGCTCTGTCCGGCCGTCGCCATTTGGAGCGGTTTCAGGTGGAATTTTTTGATGAAATTTTTTGATCACCTTCTTCATTAAGTCTAGTTTACTCATACAAAATTTCAGCTAAGCGTTCAATCGGGAAGGCAGTTAAATGAATTTTTGAAGATAACTGCGCATTTAGGCAGCGCAGTATATTTCAAAAAATCATTTGACTGCCTTCTCAATTGAATTTTTAGTTGAAATTTGGTATGGATAAACTAGACTTAATGAAGCAGATGATCAAAAACTTTCATTAAAAAATTCCATCGGAAACCGCCCTAAATGGCGATATCTAGACAAATCCTCTTGTAAAAGAGCTTATTTGCACTTTTTATGAAAGTTTGAGGGCTTATTTGATAGTTCTCCCAATAAGCTTCCTAATAATTGAGCGCGAGAATTTTCTCTCTTACATGTAGTGCTTCTACATATTTCAATATAAGTTTGCCAACAATTGAACGGGGAAATTGAACAAGATAATTTTCTCTCTCATATGTAACGATTTTAAATATATGAAGATAAGAAGATAAGCTTGCTAACAATTGAGCGGACAAACTTTCTTTCTCATATGTACTTCTTTTAAGTATGATAATCCAACTAACAATTGAACAAGAGAATTTCCTCTCCCATATATACTGCTTTTAGGTATAATAAGTAGATATGTAAGCTAACAACTGAGCGGGAGAGCTCTCTCTCATATGTGATGCTTTTTAATATAAGAAGATAATCTTGCTAATTATTATGCGGGAAATATTTATATATTAGTTTTTAATTAGATCATGAGTACAAATATATGAACCAACTGCTCTTTCCCGTGCGTATGCACAAGTACTATACTAGTTAGTAGCCTAAAATAGGCTAATCCTTCACAAGTTGAGCTTACAGGTCTATATAATGATTTAAACAAATGCTCATAAAACAGGTTAATCCTCCACAAGTTGAACATAAAATTTAGTAACCTAACACTGGCGGCCTGGCGGCGGCAAGGGGCAGAACGTAGGTCGCTGGAGGGAGGAGGCTGGAGGCGATGGCCGGAGGTCAGCAGCGGTGATAGGCGGAGGCCGGCGGTGATGGAAGTGGCTGCAGCTAGGCACTCCAAAAGAGTATTGAGGTATATTTGTCAAAACATACATAATTAGTAATATTTAAGAAATTTATAATAATGTAGTTTAATTTTTGAATTTCACCGATATTCTACACTTATTTGGATAATGTACTCTAGTCAGAAAAAATTAACTTTTTCCAAAAAGGAATTAACTCTCTTCCATAATGGGGAGTAAAAAAGATTAAACCCACATCAGTAGCTCAGTTGGTTGAGTGGTGGAAAATTTGAATCAAATGATCTCTGAAATGGGTTGAACCTATGACGTGCATGAGTATATGGATCTACTGGTATTTCGATAATGAGTCAACGTGATTTACGTTCACCCACGTGCCTTGCCGGTCAGGGTGTGGGGCTCCTGGATGGGAGATTACATTTTTTTTTTTGGATAAAGACTAAAAAAGATTAAAAATGGAACGGGCGTAGTCTGCGTCCACTTCCCACACACCGCGTTAAAAGTCACCGTTTGCTAAATTCATAGCTCTCTGTCTCCAGTTTACTGTGTATCTTTTCCACTCTCAACACCCCTAAACTTCTACTTTGACAATTTAACACGCTATCTCCCCACCTTCCTCGAAACTTCTATCCATTCACTATCTTACTCTGTTCAATTATATATCCCAACCACCCTCCCCCTCTTTGCTATCTTCATTTCTAGATCTGGGTCTCTGCTTGTATATAAAAGAGTTTCAATCTTTACGCGTTTCTTGGTTTTCCGGCGAGCAAAGACAAGATGGAGAACACTCAATCGTCTTTCTGGCAGTTCAGCGATCAGCTCCGTCTGCAGGCGAGCAACTTGGCCAATCTCTCCCTCAACGACTCCATCTGGAGCACCAGTTACGGTACCAAGCGGCCGGAGGAGAGGCGGAACTTTGAGGTCAATTCACTCAACAACGCCCCCGCCGCCGCCAACAACCCGCCGGTGAACAGTTTCAAATCTAATTACAACCTCTTCAGCAACGATGGGTGGAAGCTGTCCGATGAGATAGGTTCACTTTCCGGATCCGGGTCTGGGCCGTCGCCGAAGGGGGCGTTTGGAGTGGGGTTGAACGGTGGTTTTAACAAAGGGATTTATCCGGCACCGGCGATGACCTTTAATCCGTACTTTAAAGGGACTAATAACGTGGCGGTGAACAACAATAAAGGGTTTAACATGATGAAGAAGGCTGGGAAGCTGGGATCTGATGATGACCATTTGAAAACTGGGAAGAAGAATAAAAATGTTAACAAAGAAGGGAATAACAAGGAAGCCAACAATGGTGAAAAAAATGGAGCTGACAAGAGATTCAAGACTTTACCACCCTCAGAAGCTCTGCCTAGAAATGAAACTGTTGGAGGGTACATCTTTGTTTGCAACAATGATACTATGCAAGAAAATCTTAAAAGGGAGCTCTTTGGTGAGTACCCTTAATCTTCCCTCTTAATATTCTACCACAATTTTTCCTTTATAAGCTCCTTTCCCCCCTTTCTATTCAATTCTTGCGGATTTCTTTTTATTTTTTATTTTATTTTAATAAGATTTAAGATCACTTATAATATTTTTAAAGGCTGAATAGCTAAAATAAATGAACTGAGAATTAGGATCATGTATATATATTTGTTAGACTTGATCCGAAGAATCTACAAGCTGAGATTGTTTGTTTCTCTGTCAATATAAATATGTCTTCACTTTCTTACTATTATTACTACTATTATTTTTATTTTTATTATGGTATAAAGAGTAGCAAAGTAAAAGCAGAATGCTTGCCTTTAGAACCTAAGATGCCGATTCAAATTAATTATATGGTGATAATCTATTGATGGTTCAAGTTTTGGTATGATTTGGTGGATCTTTGTGAAAAGGAATATTATTTCGATCTGGGAATAAATATGATGAATGACCATTAAAAAAACAGAATATCCTACTTATCAATCAATCTTAAATTTATCCTTGTGTATTTGATTTTGTTGAATTCAGGGTTGCCACCTCGTTATAGAGATTCGGTGAGGCAAATCACACCAGGATTGCCTCTTTTCCTCTACAACTATTCAACCCACCAGCTTCATGGAGTTTTCGAGGTTCATATCTCAATCAAACCATTAAACTTGATCTCTCTTAATTTTTTATAAATTTTTATAGCTATGATAAGGATGATAAATGTTGATTGGGTTGGTTCTTCAGGCTGCAAGCTTTGGCGGAACAAACATTGATCCTACCGCTTGGGAGGACAAGAAGAACCAAGGCGAATCCCGCTTCCCTGCTCAGGTTGGTATCTCAAGGTCCTAACTTTGGGAGCTTAGGCAATTTGGGGCAGTTTGGTGCTTGGGGATTAGGCAGTCCTAACATAGATATTAAGAAACATTTACTAATAATGTCTACATAGAATTAATAGGGTCTGGCAGGGAGGTAAGTAGAATTAGGCGAATAAACATAGATGATCAAGAAGATCTTCTTGCGTCGGTATAATTAAGGGCTTGTTTGATTTGGGGATTTTGAAGGGAAAGGGGAAGGACGTGATTGTTTTTTATTATTAATTTCTCTGTGTGCTTGCTAGTTTTAAAAAAAATGAACAAGCATAAACGTAGGAGGAAATCAATAAAAACAAATTTCACCCCTCCCTCCCCTCCCTCCCTCCCTCCCTCACATCTTAATTCCCCAACCAAACAAGAGCTAATTGCTTAGCTGAGGCATGAGTTTGGTTAGGTGGGATCCCGCTCGGAAACAAAATTGTGACTAATCTGCTGGATGATTCAGGTGCGTGTGCTGACAAGGAAAGTATGTGAGCCACTTGAAGAGGATGCTTTCAGGCCAATTCTTCACCATTACGATGGGCCTAAATTCCGTCTCGAGCTGAACATTCCTGAGGTGATGACAATTCTCTGTTATTTAAGCAGCAGCTTCTTGAATAACAATCTTTCGATCCACATTTCATAAAAAACCTAACAAGTTTTGTTGTTGATGCAGACCCTCTCCCTGTTGGACACTTTTGCAGAGGGTGGTGACCCATGAACATAGCATAACTTATCAAAGGGTGTTATGCGAGTAATAAGAAAAGAATAAGCTGCTGTGGCTTGTAATACTAAAGAGAAGAAAAGAGCAACAATTATATATATGTATTTAGGGAATAGGAAAAAACAAAGGATCCGGTGTAATCTGCATGGCTTGTGCGAAAGCAAATCAGAATGTTTTTGTACATATGAGACAGATATACTTGCTATATATATATGTGTATTGTGAAGTTTTTGTACTGAAAGCAAAGGTACACTCCCGGTAGTAATAACTGTGATTGCTGTGGTTGGTGTACCAAGACAATAATAATAACTACAACGTATAATATTAATATACTGTCTGCCTTCCTTTTGCCACTCTTGTTCTTGACTTCTTTCCCAGTACCTCCGACTCTTGTTCTGTTTCACATTCTCCATATGACTTCCTAGTGAAGTGACTGACACACTCACTTTCTTGTTAAGAAAAAGCTGTATGGCATAATGCTGTTTTTACCTTAGACTCCTCCAATCCTCTGTTTCATGACTTCATCAAAGATGGCTGATCGGCAGTTAAAGTTCTGAACTTCTGATTGATCATTACTAAATATTGACCCTGGGGAGAGGTCTCACAAGAACCTTGCTCCAGGATGGATCTAGCAAGCACACAGCACAGGCATTGTGAGCACCAGAACCTTATGTTTCACGCTTTACGACCCTCGGGAGTCAGGACAAAACAAAAACAAAGTGTCGACCAATGTGTGCTCCCATCTACAGGCTAACTGGCTAAGGTCGCACCGTCACTAGTCTATTTCCTGGTTTTCACTAATGTAGCAGTGCACCACTCAATGCCACATCTGACCATGGGATGAGTAGCTACCTGAAGTTTGGTTTCACCCAAACCATCCACAGCGAAAGCCAATGCAGAACAAGTCGATCATATTGAGCATACTCAGACCAACAAAAAAAATGGCTGGGCTATAATAACAAATCAGGCCGAAATCGAGCTACACATTACAAATTACATTGCTAAGAAAATATAAGCTTAAGTAAGATACAAGGTACAAATACAAATAATAGTTTGTAAGATTACTGGTTTCCTTTTTGCAAATTCATGCTGCATCATTCCATAACATTCTCACATCTTCACTTCAAAAATTTCATACAACTGTCATACTTTCCGCAATTTGAGTTCAGTTCATAGACTGAGTGAGTTGTTCTGAATGACATCGCGGTTCCTGAAACCAACCATCTGAAGTTCAGAAAGACAATAAACATTGTCAATTTATAAGAATGATCCTATTGAGCCAAGAAGAGAGTGTGTGCCTGTGTTTTCCTAGTTTTTTCCAGGGGATAAAATTGTTTATAGTTTCAGGGAAAATAGATTGGACTTAAACTGTACCTTTAGCTACTTTCTTGTTACTGCTCTTCCAGAGACCACTTCATCCATGCTTTGTCCAATTCGCCTATACTTTCCGCCAGAAGCCAAAAATGAAGGGCAAGGGCGGAATGCCTTTATTGGCCACCAACCAAATCCGGGAACTGCTGCTATCCCTCCTTGAATCCTTCCTTCCTCGTTGCAACCTCTCTCGGCCACTTCTCTACCACACCCCTTGCAACCACCCCCTCTGCCATTCACACCAAGCATATGTTAAAAGAATATATTACTCCCTCCGTCCCTAAATGTTCATCCAAATTAAAGTGGGACGGTGATTAAGAAAGTGAGAATTGTGTGGTGGAGAGTTGTGCAGAAGAGAGAGAAATGCTCTGAACCACAAATTCTTTACCAAAAAGGGAAAGTGAAGTTCTTTTGGGGACGGACGAAAAGGGAAAGTTGGAAGTAAATTTAGGGACGGAGGGAGTATTAAGAATCTGGAAACTCTTGGAACATTCGTTTAAAGTCTGTTTGGTCCATTAATTTCCTCAAGTTGTCTAGCTCAATATAGTATGAGGAGCATGTCTCTCATATATGCCGGTTTCATATGGTTGGGCTTTTTAGAATGTAAATGTGATCCATTCTACTGAGAACTAACCATGATCAGACACATTCTGTACGGTTGACCAGGTTGAGCAAATAAAACTCCTCTTATAAGTTTGATAATTGAACATTTGAACTTCAAAAGTTCAAAGTCTTAATATACGAAGTACTGGTATACAACGAGTAATAGTCGATGTCAAAATGAAACCTTTGTAAATCCAAACTTCAATTTTAAACAAATGATAATTCTAGCACAAAAAATAAACTTTCATAAATCGGGCATAAAGAAACACGGAATAGTAATTAAAAAAACAAATCAATACCCTTGAGAAAGAAATGAACCAGAATCTTGAACAGTTGGGGAGACGCCATCGTCATCAGGATGAGCAGAAGACCCATTTTCCTTAACCGTTTCATCGTCTTGCTTAGGATTTCTGGAATAACTCAAGGACAAAGGCAATAGCTTTGTGCGGTGGTACTGGTACAGTAATTTATTAGGTGGTAACGCTGCTGACAAGTCTCTGTTTCGTGGTTTTGGCACTGTGGGGAGGTAAAAACTTCCTCCGGCGACGGTGGCCATTCTTCCTCCGACCGCTTTTCTCTTTCTAGCTTCCCCTGTGCGTGGAGGAGAGGCAGCCACACAAAACAGATGACCGAACAGCCTAAGCTCAACTTAAGTGATCGTAAAATCATGTAACTTTGGTACCTAAAATTAAGAAATTCTCACTAAAAGAATTGTCATTCTTACCATTCACGAAAACCGACTGATCTGACTGAAGTGGCTGTATTGTCTGATTCTGCTGATTTAAAAAAATTATTTATAAAATATATTTTATTAATAAAATAAAGAAAAAGTTATATGTGAAAATAGCTAAAATGATCATCTACAGTGACTTTAGCCAATACAACCCAAAAAGTAACTTTAACTTTACTTTTTCTGCTTATTACACATTCAGCGCGCGAAAGCAAAAGTTACGTGTTTGGTGAAAAAGTTGACTGAAAAGCCTGATAAGCCGAAAAACAGTGTTGCCAAACGGCCTCTAAAAATGCCAAAATGAAAAAAAGAGAGCTAGAAATACAACAATTAGATTATTATGAGTCTATTTGGTAACATCAAAATTTATTGAAGTGTGGTATGTAATTGGTGAAATTGTGGTAGAAGTGATGGAATGGATTGAATATGCCAAATTATAAACTAATTATATAGAAAAATGACATGTCTATTACTTATAGCGTTTTCTCGAACCAAAATATGACTATTTATATTTTTTAGATAAAAATATGACTAATCACTGTGTACGAGTAATTGAACAAGAGTCATTATAGTGAATTTTAGAGTGACATGCAAGTCACTGGTAGATGATGAGTCACTGCAAACTAGTCACTAAATTTGCCATTTTTTGAATTTTTTTAAAATAAGTCACATTTTTATCCATTTAAATTTAATTTAGTAATATTAATGAAAAAATGTCTAAAATATACTTTGTTAACAAAATCAAGAAAAATATTAAAAATTGCTAAAATAGTCTTTTTCATCAAATTTAATCAGAAAGCTAACTCCACCCTTTTTAATTTTGATGATTGCATAATTCAACGCTTGAATTCTAAACATGAGTGATTGGTAAAAAATTCGATCATAAAATGAAAATGCGAGTGATGATGAATAGGCTATAAATGCTAAAACACAATTATTGAAAAGAGTGTCTAAATAAGAAATGAGAGAATACACACCTAGGGATCGGATGACTATCATGACTAGGGATGGACTCAGATTGGGCCGGTTCACACCCGGACCCGGGGGGTATCGGTTCTGGAAAAGTGGAGCCGGTATGCTCCGATACCGGTTCCAGTCCAGGCCAAAACAATACTGGGTAGGGGTGGGCAATTCGGTTTACGGTTCGATTTTATTGCATAATTCAACGTCAACACTCTTCCTTTAAAACGTCAACACTACACTGCTCCGTAATAGTCTTGCAACACCAGAAGAGCGAGAGGCTTGTATGTGCAGGGCATTTGGGACGACATTAATTGGGCCAGCGTTGACATGGTTCGTCAACCTACCAAATGAAGGTATCAACTCGTACACGAAGTTAGTCAATCTGTTCAATCAGCAATTTGCAAGCAGCCGGGTTCTAGAGAAGCAAACTAGCGATCTCTACCGAGTAGTCCAAAGGCGAAACGAGCCATTAAGAGACTACCTCTATCGTTTCAACAAAGAGAAGGTGTCGATCCCGAAATGTGACGTCTCTACTATCATTGAGGCATTCAGAAGAGGTTTGTATGAAGATTCAGAGCTGTACCACGAACTGATGAAATACCCTTGTCGGTCCTTCGAAGATATCCAACCAAAGACGTTGGCTTTCATCCGTCTAGAATAAGACTTACGATCCCGTCGAAGACAGATTGAGCATGAAGGGGGGCATGGGAAATCAGAATCTCTCAGGAGGAATGATTACAAGCATAGAAACCCATATTCGAGACCTGAGGAACAAGTCGTCACGAGATAGATCAGACGACATGATCGAAGTCGTCGGACGGGGGGGCATGTCGTCCAATGCTAGACGGGTTCTAAAAAGCTGCATTACGGTACCCTTAAAAGTTGTTTTATTTTTAGTTTAATATTTTGTTTTACATATTGTTGTCACTCCTGTGACGAGATAAACCAGACGACATGACTGAAATCGTCGGACGAGTGGGCATGTCGTCTTATGATAAACCTGAAGACATGACTGAAATCATCGGACGAGGGGGCATGTCGTCCAAGGTTAAACCTGATGACATGATTGAAATCGTTTGACTGCAGACAGGTCCTGATGATAAGTATTTGTCTAGTTTTGTATACATACTTTTAATTTATTACTTTCGTTTATCTATAAACAACCACTAACTTAAGCATCGGAGGGCCGTTGCCCGTTGGCTTCTAGACGACGGCCGACGTTGGCAAATTCTTGTTTACACAGGAACAATCAACAATTGACGATGACAGAATTCTAACATACATCAAACAAGGCCTTACAAAAACGTCAAAACACAATTGACGGGAGGTTTACACAATCTTAGGGGAAGAAGTGGAGTTTTCATGTACGCTAAACATGAGTATAAACACCACCGATTCTCTGCAATGTTTTGGCCAAAACTACAGTAATACACAACAGAAGCATGTGCTCCAAGAGCATGACAACAAAAGCTCCAAAAAATAAGGAGACAATACAAACGACATTGTCATAAAGCATAATGTCGACGATATTACTAAAATCATAAATGAAACAATATTCAAAGTTTTTGCAGGATTTTGATTACGTTCATGCAATCCGACTCGTCATCTCTAGCAATGGACGAAGTTCCCTTGAAGTGTCAACATCAATCTGGACGAAGTTTCAGCTCATCAACACTGCCTAGTTATGATCATTAACACAAATTCGGAGGAAGATGGTGGGAGATCAGCTCTCGTTCTTCATCGCTTTAGTCAAAGAGATGTATTAGATCAGAAACTACTTTCACAGAAATTAAAGAAGTCGTCTCATTGGACGAGTGACGGGTTGAAGGAAACATGTCGTCAGAAAAGTGGCGAGTTGACAAAAGCGTCTTGTTATACGAATGGTAGGTTGACTGTATGTTTCAACGGACAGGTGACGAGTTTTATATGGGCAATATTTAAGGATGACATGTATAGATGTTTTCAAGATTTCAAAAAGTTGATGCTTAACGCCTCAACTTCTCGAAAGGGGGCAAATGTTGGGCCCAAGAGAAATGATGCTTTCTCTGGGCTGACGGATCCACAATTGGGAGCAAAGCGGTCAGCGCAATAATTTTAGGAGATAGGCATGCGACATAATAGGAGCAGAATAAGTCAAATTGAAAATAAAGACTGGAAGAATGGATAATAACAAGGGAGAGACTATTTCGTTGGAAGTGCCACCTATTTTGGTGGGAAATTATAGCTAATGCACACGTAGTGTTAGGATAAATAGATAACTACTATGTACAGGAGGGCTCACTTGAGCATTTACCTTTGGAGCAATAGATTACGATTGTATACTCAAACAATTCTTGCTATTCGAAATATTTTAGCTCATTAAATATATTTTGCTTCCTTGTTCATACTGTGATTGATTCATAGTTTGTCTGATTCCCATTTTATTTCTAGATTGGTTTATTTTTAGCATAAACAATTATCGAAATCTCACTTAAACTAACGTAGCGTCTTAGTAACGTATATCTCATTTACATTAATTATTTGTATATGACAAAGTTCTTACTACCCCCAACTCCCCCAAGTACCCAACATGTTTTCCCCAAAGTTTTCCTAGCTCCATCATTACAAGATTGTTTTGAGACTATGTTTGAATTGAAGATGTGTACAACGAAAATGTTTGATACTCTATATTTTTAGCTCGGTACTCTTTGTGATTGTTTTTCAAAAGATAGAGTCATGTGGCACACCTTAAAGAAGCAAAAATAATTTTAACTTTCAAGAAGTAGATCCAAACAGCCCATGGTGGGGATGGACTTGGGCCGGATCAGGGTCAGACTTAGTCCCGACAGGCCTTTTTTCTGCAACACTTTGTCCTAATACCGGTCCGGTATTCTCAGGGATCGAGCTAGGCCCAAACAGTACCAAGCCGTGTTGGGCCCAAAAAATGAGCCCGAAGTCCGCCTCTTATAACCACCGACACGGGCCGAGCCAAAACAGTACCGGTCCGGCACGGGGCGTCTTTAGTATTTCAGAGGCCCAAGACAAAAAAAATACTTATGATGCAAAAATCCTATTGAAAAGAGATAAATAGAATACAAAACACCAAATGAAAAAAAAACATATTCATAAGGACAAGTTTTTAAATGAGATGATGCAAACATATGCAAAATACATCACAAACTTGTATTTGTAACACCCTATTGTATAACCAAATATTGTACAACCCTATTGTTGTATTAAAGAGTTTGTCTTTACATACCCGATCCATATAACCAAATCCCTTCTCAACTAATTTTTTCTCTTTGTACATTGTAATTCAAATTTCCGCTTTCCCGTCATGCTAATCTAAACTCTAAAGACGCCGTGATGACAACATTCATAGATAATACAAAGTAACAAATATCACAAACAAATAAATTAATTAACTATTTTACTACTATCAATACCATAAAATTAATAATTTCAGGTATTTATCAATTATTATCTTATTCATCTAATATTGTAAGTTTGTAATACACTAATACTCAATTCCCAAATCTTAAATATCAAATACGGCAATACATACTCCCTCCGTCCCTAAATAAAAGCATCTGTTTCCTTTTCGGGCCGTCCCTAAATAAAAGTTCCCTTTCCTTTTTTGGCAAACAAAACAGTGCAAAACAGTGCAAAACAGTGTCAAACAGTGCCAAACAGTGTCCAAACAGTGCCAAACAGTACCAACCAAACCCACTTTCTTAAGATATGTGTAAAATGAATGGATATTTTTATATAGGGACGGAGGGAGTATAACATACTTGATACTATCTACAATACTAACTAGGAGCTGAACTAAAATAGTTACAATTGATTTTAAATCCCAAATAACTAGGATCTGCCATAGTGCCAGATCAATTGGCCGAAACTTCAAGAAAAAGAAAGAAAATACTTGCTCCATATACTATCTCGAAAATCAGAGATTCAGAGAGAGCACGGATTCACAAACCGACGTCGCCTAATCACCTTCTTCCGGTGTTCCGCACTTCAGCCCAGCACTTCCAGAATAGTGGGCCGTGAATGATTAATTAATTACGGAGTAGAATTATTATACCTAATACTAATAGTAATTGGTTTTTATTTTGGGGGCCCCTGGCAAGTTGAGGTCCAAGGCAGTTGCCTGGCCCAACTGCCCCCAAGGACGCCACTGCGGGCCGGGCCTGGGTCGGGCAACCCATCCTACCCCATGGGCTCAATCAAGAGAAACTTCTTGAAGCCTACAGATTCAGTGTACACTGAAACAGGTGAACATAAAATCACAAATAGTGTACTCTCTTACTTTCACTTGAATAAAGGTCTGATATCTATATGGTTCCAGCCCACAAAAATATTCTGTATACCACTGAAAGGGGTGAAGAAACAAGAAATGAAAACACAATTTAATTACAGAAAGAATTCTTGTACTTTTTCTTATTATAAATGAAGAAGGTCAGATATTTGATTCCATCCCATAAACCACGGCCTCTTGTCGGATGGAAGGACAAAATTGAGCTCAAACATTTCCCTTGATAGATTCCCACTCTCACAGAAGCCTACAAGCCTTGCTACTATCTCTGCACTCTCTTCTACATGTTTCCTGTCATGTGGAATTGTCCACAGCTTGTTTATGAACTGCATCCTCCTCTGCTTTGCCTCTAAAGGAACCCTCCATTTCATGTATAATGCATCTCTTTCCTCTACGCTCAAACGAGTGGCCAATCTCTTTGCAAGAAACTCCCTTTCCTTCTTCAGTGCCTTAATACTGAGCACCAAATGCAACAGAAACAAAAACGTTATTTTCTCATCTGGTGGCTTTAAGGTGGGAAATGAAATTTGAATACAATTTTACCTTTTATTATGCATTCACATATTTGTTTTTTATACAATAGAAACAAATGAATATAATGCTTGAAAAAGGGTTCAGAACTTCAGAGACTAAGGTCTGTTTGGATCTCAGGAAATGCTTGTCAAAGAGAAGAAATGCTAATGTGAGGTTTTTCTTATGTTTAGCTTTACCCCAAGAAAAAAATGTGAAGTGAAGTGGAATATAGAACCATTTCAAATTTCTTGTATATAAAATTCAGATTTGTTAGTCTCTTCATATGATACAAATAAAATAAAAAATAGCATAAGTTTGAACAAACATATATAATATATTGTAATTTAATTGAGACAGCTCAGGTATTTGAAGAGTAAGAGTATGTTTGGACCCCAGAAAATTCTAGAGAGGGGAAAAAGTGCCAAGGAGAATAGATGAGAAATGGAATGGCTAAGCCTATGGAATAAGTTAAGCCAGAGAAGAAGAAAACCTTGATGATAAAGAAATCGTCGGCTCATTTCCCACATGAGCTGGACTTGCATTTCCAAGCTCTGCTAGGTGTTGTTGTAACCAACTCAAGCGCCTAAGTTCAACTTCCATATATATCTGGTCCGTAGGGTCACCTTTAAATAATAGATAGAACTGTGACCTATGAATGATGGAGACATAACAAGCATCCCATAAGTCAATGATTTGCTGTTGTTGCTCCCTAAATATTATGTGCCATGAAGCCGGAGACTCCTCCTCTATCTCAGGAACAACATCGTTTTCCAGTGTGTACCCAGCTGCTTCATTTGCTTCGAGTTCAAGCACCTGAATAAATCAATTACAAAAAAACAAAATCAACTCTGATGCATGAAAATGAAGTTACTGTTGGTCCCCACCACATCATTAAAAAGCCCCTATGAGATATGGGTTTATTCTCACACTTGGATCTAATACCTGACTTGATCTGATTCATCGACGAAACAATATCCACTCATTTTGGTGCTCAACTATTTTTTACTCATTCAGTCCTCGACTATTACGTTTAGACCCAATTTAGTCTGAAATGTGATCACTAAATCAGATTTAGGACTCAATTTGGCCCTCTATTTTGTAATTTAGACGAAATTTAGCTGCCAATGTATGACAATACCCCACAGTGAGATATGGATGAGGACTGAATTAAGTCTAAATGGGGTCCAAACAAATGTTGAGAACAAAAGTTCGGTAAGTAGTGTATAATTAAGGGACTAAATCGGCGGGTATTAACTCTAACAAGTACATACTAGACTCATACAGAGTAGACAACAAGCTGGAGAGTTGGCCAACCCTCAACCAAGACGGGCATATACACTCCAGCTCTCAGCCCAATCTGAAAAGGTGGACAAACTAGTCTAGACCGTGCCCCAAACTGAACCACAAATCATTGAGGGAAAATGCCCGAAGTAAAAACGTTTGAGAAGCTCAAAATAGGGCTGTCATGTTTTTATTCCTTAAATATGAGTAATTACTGCCAAACATGGAAAATACTGTGGCGTTTAAAGTCTGGTACTGCCAAAACATGGCGGTAATTACTCCTATATAGGGAATAAAAACATGACAATCCTATTTTAGAATACATAAACGTTTTTACTCCTATTTAACGCAATTTAGCGCAATTTCCCATCATTTAATCATCCCCAGACCAGACCGCGATACCTTTGTGAATTAGGACTAACTCATTTGAAAAGGACCCATTAGATCAGTATATATGAAAGATTAAACCCAAGTTGACAATATGGAAGATGCTTAGGAATTACAAAATCTGTAGATGAAAAAAAGTAGTAAAAAATCACCTGGCAAACAAGTAGTTGCTTTTGGTATTGCAGCTTGGCAACACGTTCTTTAAGCTCAGTTACATATGATCTTATGCTTCTAACATTCTCTTCTGCTGCATCTTGGAACATCTTTTGCATTTTTCTCATGTTGACAGGGGTACCCTCTTTTGATGACAACTCACCCCCTCCTTCACTTTTCGTAGGAGTCTCCTTCTCGACTGACACATCATCATTATACTCTGGAGCTCTGTTTTCAGTCTCAGAATTCTTCATAAATTGGCAAGTTGATGATAAAGGTGAACATGGAGATCTGATGAAACTTTGCATATTAAGACTGTTGTTAGATGCTAATGGAAGCAATTTCTTCTTCTTGGATAGATTTTTAGACTTCACGGATGAATCATCATTTGAATCAGGGAGAGACATTACTAATTTGTCTATGGACTTCTGAACGATTTCCAGTTGCTCTTCAAGATCGGCTATTGTGCTACCTTGAGAATGGAGTTTTGCAATTTCTTCTTTGAGGTTTGCACTGACACTCTTATTGACAGAACCAAAATTTTCAACTTCAACATCTTTATGAGCAGGCTGTTCTTCAGCACACATTCCCCTGATCTCTGATTGCAGCTTAGCTATAGTCTCAGCAGCATCTTGGTTACCTTGTCTGTAACAAGTTACTTCCTTCTGCAACAATTCGAGTGCCCGGTTTGCTTCTTTTCCGAGTTGCTCCTGAAGGTGTTCAAGTTTCTTAATTTCATGCATGAGCGTGAAAGGAACGGCTAGAGATTGCCTCATCATTGATTGTCTTCCCATTGTGTTTCTTGCTCTTTCACTACGAACTGATTCCTTTACTTTAAGGTTAGGCAATGTGGTAGAGAAGGAGAGAGTCCTTGCAACTGGACTAGTAAATGACTCCTGTTGTGGTGATTTTAGTCCCTAAATTTGAAATTCAATGTCAAGCAAAAAAAAAAAAAAGATTAAGTAGGCGTTTTGGTAAGACCTCTAATGACTTTATCAACCTTAGTACCAAATTTCAATGTGGTCTGGATTGAAAGTCAATAATGAAAAACAATAGCAAGGGGCAGAAATGGCATTTCAACCGTACCTTATTGCTGAGTTAAGCCATATCAATTAATTTATTCAATACTTCAGGAAATTAAGCCATTTTATCACATGGACATTTGATGAGTTATTTAGTGCTCAATATCTTTAAAAGGAAATGGTATTTCCATCATTTGCAATGGAGCCCACGATTCATTATTTTTTGGCTTGAGATTATGATGGAATAAAGCAAAATGACTCACTAAATTGTCTGCGCTTCTTTGTTATGAAGCAGCATTAAGTCCATGCAATTTTGGACGAGATTTTCACTATGGGTCATCCGGAAACGGTCTCTCTGTGCTTTAGTACAGGGGTAAGACTGTACATCAGACCCCTTACCCCACCGTAGGTGGGAGCCTTTGCGGCACTGGGGTAAATGAAAATCAATGATCTTTAAAAGGAAATGGGTTTGGCATAATCAGGCGATTGATGCTAACAAATGGGGATTGGTAACTCATACACAAGGGACTGAGAATATGGGAATGATGTTACTCTCAACAGAATAATTAACTCTTCTGGGTGATGTTTTCGTATGCTGTAGAGAGAGAGAGAGGGGGAGGGATAACCTGTTCTTCCTCAAGCTTCCTGCGTAACTCATCCACTTGAGACTGAGCAAGATCTCTTTGGCGCCTCAGCTCTTCAATTTCCAGCTCCATCTACACGCAAAAATGAGCCAATGAAAAAGATTAGTTTAGAATTGTTCATTACAAAATCAGAAACCGTGTTTCACTTATATGAATATATGATGAACCTGCTGAATCTTTAAATCTTTGTCATTTGAAATATCAGGTGTTCCCAGTCGCGCTTCAAGTCGGGCAACCTCCTTCTGCAAATGCTTAACAAGCTGTTTGTCGGAAATAACCTGATGATATAAAGAACGTCTTAAGAACATGAATCTTCTGTAGCTAATGTAGCAATCAGCAATGGAGTATACAGTTCGTTAAAATACCAAGTTCACTTGAGCATTGTTTGTCACTTCCTTTGCGCGGGTAGCAAAGAAGAGAGTATTACGCGATTGCTCCACATGACAAGAAGCGGGACTCAAAGTGCATACGATGGCAGTACGGGCATTTCCGCCTAGGGAGTGCTGCAATATGCGCGTCAGCTTCGAGTCTCTGTAGGGAATATGACCAGTTCGTTTTCCCACGCTGCCGATCAAATCAGAATCATTACAGCAAAAAGTTCAATTAGAATGGTTTGACTTATAGATTTAGAGCTAGTTTGATTTGTTCTGCTTATCCAAACAACTAAACTTTCATTTCGCCCACTTAATTGTGTAATAATAATAAAAAGTAATGTGAAATTATTTTTCTTAATTTTATTAATAAAATATATTTTAACTTTTTTTCATAAATCAACAGAATTAACCCATACAACCAGTTCGACCAGAACTTCATAAATTTCAACAGAATCAACCGATGTGACCAAACGGGCTCTTATTTACATACTCGTAAAGTAAAGTTTTGCTTTTACTTTTCAAATTCTTCGTATATTATTAAATACTTAATTGCCCATTGGTCGGTGGCAGGAGTATCATGTTTTTCTCCAGGGTCTTATGTTTTTTGGCCATATTTTTCAAGCGTGACAATGATTGCTTCTAGTTAAGAAATAAGAACACCATGTTTTTAGTTTGAAATTCCATGTTGTTTTTACTCTTATTGAAAATAGTTTCTTAAGTTCAGGAATACATAGGTTTTAAGGTCATTAGTTACCTGAGCTTTCTGATAACAGTTGTAAGAGTCATCAAACTCAAGTTAATATGGCAGCCTTCCCGGAGTCTAGCACCATCAGCATTTGTCTGTGATGCCCTTTCACTTCCAGCTAAATCTACAAAGTTCTATAATTATAGAAAGTGAAAACGTGAATGAACAATCCTTCCTTATTCAAGCATTTTTACTCGAAATGAGGTAATAATGATTTTTTCTTACCAAACTTGCAACGTAAGACCTCACACATCCTGAACTTTCACGAAGGATACTTTCTATTGTCTGCAAATTTCCCCACAAAATATGGGTAATCAGTTACAACGTTTGCTTATTCATAAAGTGCTACCGGGGATATGTGAAAATGGAGTTAGTATCTAATATGGTTCCTCCAGTACTCTCTATTACTCAATTTGATCATGGAATTTAGGAAGTTTTTACTTGGACTGGTCTGATCCAGTAAATGTCTGGTATCTGTGCATTTTCTAATTGTCCCAGTCTGGGACTGAAAATGGTCCAAGTAAAAACATCCATACTTTTGGATTCAACATGTTCTCCATATATGGAACTTATGCTCAGTTTCCTCCTTGTGCACATTTCACTCTAGTTTAAGAGGGTATTTGGGTCAAATAATGTGGGCACAAAAGCCGTTTCCAACTTTAGAGCCAACCAGGTATGAATATTAAATTGAGGCCAAGCTGCATTAGTCAATGATCACATTGAACCCAATAAAAAGTGAAAACAAAATTGAGCAATAGTGTATATTCCGTGAATAAATTGCTATAAACTGAAAATAATCTGCCAATCTGCTGGTGGGGGTAGAGGATGAGGGAGCACTTGCCAGTCTTATGATCTGGTGAGATCTTGAGCTTGTCTCATTAAGGGAAGTTTCACCAACTTGTCTCTGAGCTGCAAGGAAAATAAGTATTGTCACTATTAAAGAAGGCTTCAATTCAATTACTAACTCATCGCAGAAAAGAAAATTAGCATCTTTTTTAACTACTTACCATCACAAACACTAATCAACTGTCTGAGATGTTGATCATCAGCTGCTGTTTCTTCAACCAACTTTTCAACCATAGTTCCTTTCTACATTCAGATACAGTTGATAAGCCCATAAGAAAAAAGATCTGGACAGGAAAATGTCAAGTTCTTTGGCTTATTGTCTACAGTTTTACCTCAGGATCATCTAGAAGCTTGAGATTACGGCCAGATTCTGAATTCAATAGGTCCCTTACATTTTCATTGTATATTTCCAGTCCAGATATCTTTACTCTAAACTCTCTTCCTGGAGTCTATAATAATCATATTAAAAAGCAATTATCAGAAAACCAAATATAAAAATAAAAAACAATGGTACCTAAAAAGCAAGCGCACATGTGAAGTAATTTCACAGTATACTAGCAAAAACCAACTTCTGGAAATTCTTACATTTGCGATATGGGCATAGATGTCATTAACAGCTTTTGCAGTAATTCCTCTCATAGTGTATGTCTTCCCGCTACTGGTTTGCCCATAAGCAAAAATTGTTGCTGCAAGTGCAAGAAAAAATTGATTAAGTGAAATCGAAATATTTGAAACCAATTATACATTCACGAAAAGCACATTCCAATGCATTACAATAGTAAAAATGTTACCATTGATTCCCATCAAAGCAGATAAAGCCACATTCTTTACACCTTCCTCATATACTGTTTCAGTTAAGCTATCAGGACCAAATACTTTATCTGGAAACAGAGCAACACTCAATCATTATCAATGCAATTCTCAATAGATTAAAGGTTATATTTCATCCTTTAAAAAACGAGGTTTTGGAAAAATGAACACATAAAACATATAAAGGAGCGTAATAAATTGATTGTTTTCCTTATTTAAGTTCAATATCGAACATATTGAATTCCTTCCAAGGTTTAAGCATTTAATTTAGTAAGAGTTGGTATCGGCAGATTTGAAAGGTTAGTAACAAAATATGCATGAGATTCCTAAAATGGGAATTCATTTAAGATAGATGGAGTAACTCATAACTTATAAGTCCTACGATTGCATTAGTATCATGATTAAAAGTGAACTTCGTTATAATAAAAAGTAGTTTAATTACCAAATGTAAATGAGCTAGGCTGGGGAGGCCGTTCTTGGGATGTTTGCTTATACACAACTGTATGATCATCGATGCACTCCCATGCCACATGATCCTTGGCTGATTGCTCCCTTTTGTTTAATGGTCTTAAACGCACTGTAACTACGATTTTTTCCTCTCTTTCTCTTTGTCCAGCAGGAGTGCTAGCTGGTGTCCTTTCTAGCTTCGAAGCTGGTGTACCAGGAGTTTTCGCAGCCATATTCTTACCAAGGCTTGTATCAACAAAACTTTGATCTGGTTTTGTTATCTAAGAACTTTCCTTAGCAACAATCTCTGCAGGACATGTCGCTTTCCAAAGAAAGAGAATGGAATTGCAGAGAATAAAGTAGCAACAGAGCAGGGGATTCGAAGTGATTTAGCCCTAATTTTGAAGCAACACACTCTTGCAGCAGCTAACGAGTCGCCGATCCTATACAGAAAGTTCACAGAGATTAAAATTAATAACTCACAAGATATGGTAAGGGCAGAAATAACAAAATACATCGGATTATCTGGAACTTACCTGAGACAACACTGCCTATCAATTGGCAAACTATGAGAGAGAAGAAGAAGAGAAATCGGAAATGGAAAGCTATAAAAAGCAGTGTGTTTCTGCTATTCACAGCGAGAATTTGAATTTGAGTAGCTAACGGCTAGTTCTTCATGTCAATGGTCACATACAGCTCATGCGGGCATTTTTATCCGTCCCTTCCAAAATAATCTAACTCGATTGCCTCATATCAATTCATTTTTTTCTAGTCACATTTCAATCACAACTTTTACTTTTTCAATCATTTTCTTAAAACTTGTGCAAAAACAAATAAGACAATTAATTCGGGACGGATGGAGTATCTTTTAGGCGGGAGTGTCTAATTCGGCTTAGGGTCCGGTTTTTTGGGTTTAGGAGACACTACAAAATATAATCAAATAATCAAATACTCCCTTCGTCCCATAATTTACTTTCGTAGTACAAATGTCACACGGATTAAGAAAGTGCGTTTTGTGTGGTGGTGAGTTGTGCAGAGCAGAGAGAAATATGTAAGAATTGCTGTGAAACACAAATTCTTTGCCAAAAAGGGAAAGAGAAGTTCTTTTTGGGACGAACGAAAAAGGAAAGTTGGAAGTATTTTCAGGGACGGAGGGAGTAATACTTTTATATCCATGATCAACAAAACATTATTATCACCGACCTGCCTTCAGATTTCACATATTATCATCTAGATCCCTACACTATTAAAAATATATACTTACTCTCTCCTTATCCTTCAATGAGAATTTAAATAACTCTTAATCATGTTTTGCAAAATTATAGATTTAGTCCTGTAAATTTACTGACTTGCATATTGAATCTGGTGACAAATAATTTATCTGCATTAAGAAACTTTCCAAGAGAAAATACACTTTGTGGCAACAAATTTAACGCGTCTTTTCTAGTATGTGCTTGAATGTGTACTTTTCGGTGAAATAATTCTTAATATAGACATATTCATTATTTACCCAAATACATCTACATGAGAGTAAATTTATAGAACTAATTAATAACGGATACAATCGAAAAAGTACGAATTTTAAACAACAAATCTGCATTACTTTTAAAAGTTCAAAAAATCTATGGATTGTAGAAAATCTTGGTGAAATATACATCTTATGTCGGATTTTTTTTCTCACGTGAAAAAATATTACTCCCTCCATCCCTAATTTATCTCCTGAAGTAAAAATGACACAAGGATTAAGATAGTGAGTATTGTGTGGTAGAGAGTTGTACATATGAGAGAAAAATGTGTAAGAATATAATGTCTAAGAAATGCAGTGAACCATAAATTCTTTACCAAAAAGAGAAATAAGAGATAATTTTAGACGTACGAAAAAACTAGGAAAGTTTGAAGATGATATCAGGATAGAAGGAGTACTAGTTTCCGCATTCTTCATAAAATCATCCACTAATTTTTTTTTGATATATTACAAATATTTTAAAATTTTGAATGAACATTATTTATAAGAGATATTACCCAAAATAGGACTAAAACAGTTTGAAAATTCCAAAATAGGACTGTCATATTTTTATTCATAAAATAGGACTAACTACTGCTATGTTTTGGCAGTACCAGACTTAAAAAATGGCAGTATTTTCTAAACATGGCAGTAATTAGTCCTATTTTGATCTTATTTTGGAATTTTGAAACTGTTTTAGTCCTATTTCGAGAACTTTCCCTATTTATAATTACAATTGAGCTAAACTTTTGGAATATTATTTTATACCTAAAACAGATGTTGGTGAATAATTTTAGGACAACAAAAGTTTTTGGAATAATATTACAAAAGTTTAGTTAAATTGTAATGCTAAATAATGTTCATTCAAACTTTAAAAATATTTTTATTATAAGTGTTGAAGCTAATATTTTTATCATGTGGAAAACAAATCTTTGGCGTTACTATATCTGTATTACTTTTATATCAGTGATCACATTATGAGTATGATATGAGTTTCATGTAACACTATCACTAATAAGGATATTCACAAACGTTGTGGTACTATAAAAACACATATGAACAATTCTCATATTAATGTATTACAAAATGAGCATGTTCCACTCAAATGATGAGCATATAAACAATTGTCATGTAACCGTATTACATAACAAGCATATTCTAAAACAAAAAGACGAAAAGTGCACATCACTTGATGAACACATAGTACTATTTGGGCATTTGAAAACAGTGATCAAATTATGAGTATCATATCACTTATCATGCAACACTATCACCAATAAGCATATTCACAAATGTTTCAATACTATAAATGCACACACACATGCGCGCGCACACACACACTCTCTCTCTCTCTCTCTCTCTCACACACACACACACACACATATATATATATATATATGTGTGTGTGTGTGTGTGTGAGAGAGAGAGAGAGAGCAATGCTCATATTAATGTATTATAAAGTGATCATATTCCACTCATATGATGAGCATATGAACAATTCTCATGTAACTTTATTACAAAACAATCATATTCTAAAACAAAAATTGCACAACACTTGATGAACACATAGTACTATTTAGGCATTTGAAAAGAGTGACCATATTATGAGTATCATTTCAATTTTAATGTGACACTATCACTAATAAAAACACAAACGAACAATTGACGTAACAATATTACTACAGAATGAGCATATGATACTCATACGATGAGCATAGTTACACTTTTATGTAAAGTGTGATAGAATGATCATAATCTATAACGAATTCGACAGTACTTGACAGAAACACACAACTCTCTACGTGCAAGCAAAATGATTGATCACATTATGAGTATCATATCAATTTTCATGTGACACTATCACTAATAAGCATATTCTTCAAAAAAATCAGTACGATTTAAGCACATAACACTTTATTGACGTATGATATTAGTACTACATACCGCAGAATGAGTATTATAGTAGTTTTCATGTAATCGTATCACAACATAGCAATGTTCTAAGTACTTATTAACATATATTAGTGAAAATGCGAATAAAATGAGCAGTAAGTAGCGTACATGCATTGAACAAAACCTAAATCCATTTGGTCCAAAAGGTTGAATGCCCAACCCCAAGGCCCCCCCACCCCGACCCGACATGATGGTGGAAGGTTAATCACGGTGACTCAGTCAGCAAAGCGGTGGTAGGCCTTATACACGTGCGCACCAGAGGTCCAATCCTATTTCAGGTTCCGTAACCTCCACACGACCGCTGCGGGTTTCGAACATTGGTAATTTGGTCCAATTTTCCCACCACTCGACCAACTGAGCTACCCGTGCGGGTTCAAAACCTAAATCCATTGTTTTACTTAATCAACACATATCACACATCAAATTCCTAATCAGATTAAGATTTGTCAAAATCATTTCAATTTTTTTTCTCTAATTTCCTCAACATGCAAGCGCATTCATATTATGACTACTAAAATATAAAATTCAAAAATATAATGTTACATACTTCTCAGATGCTTTCGCACTTGCATGTTCTTCATATGCCTTTGATATCATGTTCCATTCGGCTGTTTCTGAAGACTACAGTGGAGATAAACCATCGGTTAAACTTTATTTCCTTATGCAGTTTTTGTTTCAAACGATTTTCTACTTTTAGAAATTACTCTAAATAGGACTAAAACTATGAAAAAACCTCAAAATAGGATTTGCTATGTTTCTTTTTTTCAAAATAGGACCATATTAGTCCTAATGGAAACATACCTATTTTTTCATTCCATTCTTACTCTTCCTTTAAAATAGTCAAAAGCCATTATTAAATGTTTAATTCATAATAATTTCGAAAAAAATTCAAAACTTCGTAGAAAAATAATTAAACAATTTATAAAATATTTACAAAATAAAAAATAAAAAAATTAATTCATTTTTTAAAAAAAATTAATAAAAAACAGTAAAACTGCATAAAAAATTAAAAAAATATAGATGCGTTTCCCACCGCCTGTACTACCTCCCTGCACCACCACCTCCGGTCGGTGAAAAAAATGTCATTTTCTCTAAAAACTGCCATTTTTTCTGGAAATGCCAAAAAATGGCATATTTCTCTTTGAGAATGCCAACATTTTCATTGTTTTCTACCATAAATATGACATTTATAATGAATTTGGCATTTTTTCCCCTGGTGACTGGAGGTGGTGGTGCTGAAGCGGCAGAGGCGGTGGTGTTTTTTTTTGAGTTTTTAATATATTTTTTTGAAAATTAATTATTTTTTTGAAAAAAAAAATATTATCGAAATATTTTTATTAATTTTCAGTATTTTTTACGAATTTTTATTATTTTTTATTATTTTATTATGAATTAAAACATTTCAATAGCTATAAGGGTATATGTGTCCAAGACACACATAATTAGTCATAAGAAAACACAATTTATTTTTTGGTCCTATTTGTGCAAAGTGAGTGACTTTTAGTCCTATTTTGATAATTAACTCTTTCTACTTTATATTTTATTTTCATTATTTCGAACATTAAAGGTGGTAGATTTGTGTTAATTTAGTGGGTAGATTTTTGTTGGGAGGCAGTTCAGCCGCTAATAGTCTCGAAACTCTCACATGTTCAACGACTAATCTCGCTATTTTTGCGGTGAATTATTTTGTTTCTGATCAGAGAATATAATGATGAGACCGGTGGACTTTCATGAATTTAGAGGGGGGGGGGGTGTTGGTTGGTTTATTCTATATTAATACGGTGTATAAGCACTAGTACAAAAAAGACTTTTCACATCGGTCAAAAAAGGTTTTTCACATCGGTCAAACAGCTGATGTGGTTCCAGCACATGTGAAAAGTATTGACTTTTCACATCGGTCAAACAGCCGATGTGGAAATTCTTTCTACATCGGTCGTTTAGTGCCCGATCTAGAAGATAGTCCGAAACGGCGTTTTAATGATATTTTACATCGGTTATAACCCATGTAGAAAAGAAATCACATCGGTTATTTTACAACTGATGTAGAAAAACTCCAATTTTTCCCAGAGCATTGGTTTTTCACATCGGTTATAACCCATGTAAAAAACAATCACATCGGTTATTTCACAACTGATGTGAAAAGCTTCATTTTTTCAAAACATATGTGTTTCACATCGGTTATAACTCATGTAGAAAAGCAATCACATCGGTTATTTCACAACTGATGTGAAAAGCTTCAATTTTTTCGGTATTTTTCAGGAAAAAAATTTGCAATATGCCCCCCATTTATTCTATAATCACATCATTAACAGTATCATCAACTACTATAGCACAAATTTGCACGTGTTCACTCGATCCATCTAAAACAATAACACAATTTCTAAAATACTACACAAGTTTCTAAATTGCAAAATATTACTACATATTTACTTTCCTTGTACATTTTCTTTTGCAATCATGCTCTAAATTGCTTCTTGCTTTCTCGGATTAAGTCTCTATTTGCTCTCAAGTTTCTTCCAAAATGCTGATGGCCGTCTTGGAATGCTCACCATATACTTCTGGCAGATCACAGAATCTGCAATTTCATAGCTTGTTCTCTTGTATAATCTATGGTCCTCTCTCAGACATCTTGTATTTTTTCTTCATCTCTTTTAATGTTGCTCTTCTCCACTTCATCATTGAATTCCATAGGCTCCTGAGTAAAATAACATGACATTTTAATAAATGACAAGAAACCATATTCTTCACGCATCAAGAGGAAAGCGCGAACAATAAAATACAATAAAATCCAAGCGTTAGAATGTTAGACAAGCACCCTATTAAACAAATCCAAACGTTTGAACGTTAGAAAAGCACTCTATTAAACAAATCCACTGCGTATGGTTTCAAACCTTATCAGCAGCATTATCAAACCTAGTCAATAATCATTTTTTTTGGATAAAAGATAAATGCTATAAATAGGCAAAAATTACAAAGTTTAAGGGGCATACCCTCGAAGTTACCAACAAAGATCACAAGAAAACCCACATTAAAAAAACGGATATCAAACAGCAACAAAATAGTCCTCTAAGAACACACACACACCAGCCACACTACTCATAGGAACTAGCAGGGGTTCACATAACAGGACAAAAACACAAACTATTCCGTGAACTAGTAACCGATCTATTGGGGCATCAGAAATTTATCATGTTTGGCGGATATAGTATATATAAAATCTTGTAATTAAGCACTTGATTTGCAAAATCAGTTCTCATCACTCGTGGCCTTTGCCCCTCCAAATAGTCCAGTATTTCGGGGTTTCCAGATCGAGTAAACGGTACAAGCGAGAGCAATTCTAGCAACCTTGCTATTTAGTCTTGCAGGCCTTGCCAATAATCATATAATCACTACACTCAACTTTATTTACTTTTGCCATCTGCATTCAACTCCTACTTTCATCCCCAACCATTAAATCGCTCAAACTAACAAGTACTTCTAAAAAAGATGTTATTGCATAAACATGTATGTATAATTATAAAAATAAACGAATAGGTATATACTGTGAATGAAAATTACAAAGATAGATAATATTGTTTCTATTCTGTCAATTACACACGACTTTTATGTAAACTTTTATGCAATACTATGCTCGCTAGAAAATACAAGTGAACAACAAGTGTTAAACTTGGCCAAATAAAACGATATCACTCTCCCTATATATGCGTTCAAACGAGTAACTCTCACTACAAAGACTACGAAAGAACACAAATTTTCTTAAGATTGAGATATTCCAAACAAAACATTTTTATTGGCATATAACCTCCAATACTACTCGGTTATGTTTTGATGGAACCAGCAGAGGCAGAACTAGAATTTTTTTTTAGAGGGGCTAAAAGTATGAAAAATTTATAATATGTCAAAATACATATATTAGACAATTAAAACACTTAAATTGAATTTACTAGCATGTTCTTACATATTATTTTCTTGGATTGACCATTTCAAGGACCCACCACTCTCAATTATGAATTGATACATAGGCATACATAACCAAAAAAATAATAAATCATATCACAGTTATAATTGTAAAAATACATAGTCATTAAGTAAAAATCTAACATGTCAATTTAGTCATCACTTATTTACTCATTAATCATTAATATTAAAAGATTCATCTTTTCTATAAACAAGTAAACTCTAAGTTAAACAATAAATTACTAAAAAACTAAGCAAATAATGGAGTTAAAAAAATGGCAGGTGTACCGCTGCAGGTCAAAATATAAATAGGCAAATACAAGCAATTTACAAAACACTGCACAACTAAACAAGTAAACTAGTAACTTGGTACTTCTTGCTTGCACACACAAAATCTGAAAAAATAAAAGAATAAACTTACCAGGCAGAGGCAAGCAACGTAACCGATGGCAGAAGTCAGAAATAGAAATGCACACAGTTTGTTCTGCCGCATACTTTGCCGCCAATTCAATTTAGTACAGTCATCGGCTCGCAACACACATCTTGTCCTTGACTCCTTGTTCACATCTGGTGAACCTTGCTTGCAGCTAGCTCACTTGCCAATTGTAGTTGGCAGCCTGCCAAATCGCAACTCGCATTGGTCTACCCAAATACATCTCGTGACACCTAATAATTTAAATTAGACCTAATTATATTTGAAATTCTATTCATTACTCGCCTGCTGCGTATCATTTTACATTTTTTCTTTTTTTCATTTTTCCAAAAGACATTGGAAAGAAAGGATTACTAGACCCATACCGGCTCTTCAGACTTCAGACCGTCTTATCCAGGGGGCCAATGAACATTACACTTATATATATTCTTACAGTCTTACACATCTGCCATCTGGCGAAGGGGAGGGCACCGGCTCACCCCTAGTTCTGCCCCTGGGAACCTGAGATGATAAAAGGGATGATCTTTATGACCTCATAGTTGTTCTCGTGTACCATCCATTGCCACAACACATCTGCTAAAACACTTGTGAGCGACAAGGAGGGGGCAAGTACATTTTATACATTTACACATCAAAATACATTTATACATCAAAATGTAGATTAAAGAGTAAAATTTTATCTATTCAATTATATAATGCACTGAAAAAAAAATAAATTAACACAAATTCAGTATTCAAATATTAGGGGATGGAGGGAGTACCTTAAAAATACAAGAGCTGGGGCGGTGACCCGTGACCGATGGAAAAGGTAGCCCAACAGTGATAGGCAAGCAGACGGCGGATACATAGGCTCGGCGACATGGTCAGATTATTTTTTCAGCCGGTTGGAGCCTAAAGGGCGACGGTGATGGAGCTTTCGCTCCTTATTAGCCGCTCGTCGGTCAGATTAGTTGCAACCGCAGGGGAGGAATTTGTTCACGGTGATTCAGCTACTCTGACGTGCTGCTACGGTGGTTCGTCAGTGCTTCAGTAAAAACGAGATCTGGATTTTGGACGAAGGATGAAGCGTGAAATCTCATACATCCTTTTTAAATTGACTTCAAAGTTCCAGATCGGTTACAACTTATAACCCATGTGGAAAATAAATTCCTATATTTATAAAATGCACCCCGTTTTTTCCCACATCGGGTATAAATAAAACCGAAGTGCAATAGTTTCTTATATTATAAAATATACCCGAGACACTATTTCCACATCGGTTATAAGAGGAACCGATGTAAAAATATTTCTGAAAATTGTAAAATTGACCCCGCGTCATTTTTTCACATGGGTTTTTGGATAACACATGTGAAAAGTGTGATGTAAAAAGCTCTTTTTGTACTAGTGAAGTTTTCTCTTTCCCAAGAAAAACTGTTATTGAATTTCCATAACTGAGCAATGTAAATGTTAAATGTCCATTTACATCCTTCATTTATATCGTACATTCGGATGTACATGTACACCCGGTTTTTTTTGAAATATTTATCAACTTTATGAAACGTGGCACAAGTTTAGGTGTATTTACCATCCCACACGATATTCGCTTATCAACCAAGCTACTGCTCCGATTATGTGAAGCTTCGGAGCTCAAACGCTGTAATCAACACCACCTCAACATTTCGCAGGGCAATAACCACATATGTTTATGCAGGCTCAGACGACGACGATAGAGGGAGTGCCGATTGAGAAGCTGCATTGCACTCCAAAGCAGTAGGGTCAGTGAAGGAAGGAGAGTGAATGTGCATGGATCTGATTTTTCAGTTGGAGAAAATGCCTAAACAGAATGAATATACACAAATGAGCTTTTGAAATTTTTGAAAGCTCATTTTGAAAGTTATGTATGCTCATTTTAAAATGTTATATCAATGCATGTTTCAAAAGTCTCATATTATATTAGATTCACATTGTAACACCGTCCCCAAGTATATTGGCTTTTAGTAAATCATGTAATAAACCTTGAATAATGATTCATGAATTTACGAAGTTGTAAAATTTTGTTATTACATTTGCGTGAATAGTGAATTGCACGTGGGGCCCACACCGGAAGCGGGGACCACCCGATAATCCCGGGACCACATATTACATTCATCTTGGTCTAAATAATATTATATGATGGTGAATAATTCAGTTGGGCCATAGAAAGGGCATAGGGTTGACCCGTTGGTCAAATGAGGCCCAATTACCGGTATTGGTAATTTATCGGATAACAGCTCGAAATGAATATCAGTGACTTATAAATTAAAGTTGGTGAATGTATATTCATTCTAAAGGTCCATAGTGATTTAGAACGTGTAACATATTTATTTGGGCCGATAAAATAAGGTATAATTAAAACAGTCAAAGAAATACAACTTTCGGGGCCGATTGCACAGTTTGGGACTTATTGGGATGACCTCCCAAATGAGTGGGGGCCACCCCACGAAATTGTGTACTCTAATTGACAAGGGGGAGCTGCACAACATGGTTGTGAGGCAAGAGGGGGGACTGAAGTTGATGGTCGGTGAAAAAGGTACATGGATGGGCTCCCTCCCCCTCATTATTTCCAAGTAAAAACAAAAGAGGAAAGTCTCCTCCTTACACCCTCCATCCAGCTCGACCCAATCTATCCAAGAGGGATAAAAAGCTCTGAAAAATACCTACCTCCATATCAAAAAACGAGCTCAAGCAATAGGAATCAAAAGAGGGGTTTTAGAGAAGGAAAAGTGAAGGAAAGTGTGGAGAAAAAACGAGCTCAAGCAATAGGAATCAAAAGAGGGGTTTTAGAGAAGGAAAAGTGAAGGAAAGTGTGGAGAGATTAAGGTAATGATCTTGTAATAAGTTTTCCTTGTCATGATGAATTACATATGAATTTTTTATCATATGAAGCAGGGGCGGATACACACTCAAGGTTATGGGGGCACATGCCCCCAACAAAGTTTAAATTTTTAGCTTTTTAAATTATATTTTATTAACTAATTAGGGGTGTGCCCCCAATAAGAAAAACAAAATGCCCCAAACAAGAAAGAAGGATGCTCTAATGGCCCAATTAAATACGGAGTACATTGACAAAGAACACAAATTACCACGGAGTAATTAAGACTCTTAATTAAGAGTGAACAATTTGTTTTTTATTTTATATAATTAATATTTCAGAAATAACTTTATAATTTGTATAGTTACATACTCTATTGGTTTATGAATTAGAATGCCTAAAGCCCCCATATGTGTTATTGTGTTAGTTGTTGCCATATAAAGTTAGTTAATTAATTCATGAAAAACGTTAGCTAATTGATCATTTACTTTTCCCTCAACTCTTAATATAATTTTTCTGGTTTTGAATTGATTTTATTTTAACAATATTATTGTTTTAATGCAAAAAATACAATCACAAAACTAATAAAGAGATTCCAAAATAAGAAATATATAGTATAATATTATATACTTATTGGACGAACCTGGACATATGTCTTTCTATTTTTCTCAATTTTTGGTTGTTCATATTGTTGGAAAAATGTGTTAAAAATTGCATTAAATGGTCATTTTGGGGCAATTATTTGAGTGGGGTCCACTTCCGATTTGGGTCGGGTCAAAGTGGTTTCGGATTGTTCTTGTTAAGGGCTACAATTCGATATGTGGTACACTCAAAACGGATAACGGGTGAATGAGAAATTGATTCTCGAAGTTCACTCGTTGAAATGGAAAAACTGGGAAAATGATGAGTTTCTAGTGTGTTTTATCCCACACCGAAAAACTCAAGGGATTTTCACCCCCTTATAAAGGGAAGCCTCTTTTAAGGAGTGAAGATTCCTAAAGGGAAAGGTTCTCTCTTACGCGCAGGGGGGGGTGCCGATCAAATCTCGAAACGGAGAAGAAAAACCGCGACCTGCGGACACGAATGCTGTCCAAAAATCTATCTCTCAAGAGATACGGGTTAATTTTTGTTTCGGACAGAACCCCTCCAAGGGGTCTTCTGTCGCGCATTTCTTCCGTTACAACAATTAATGCCCAACATTCTTCTCTTTTAATGCTGCGTTAAATGGACAGTTTATGGACGATTCAATGCCCAACGGACTGGTCATTGATGTCCAACGTTCAGGTCCATTAACACCCCATTTAACACACAACAAATCCTCATATAAATAGCTGGCAGGTGCTTTGCAACAAACACACGGTTTTGACACAACGCACAATACATTCCTCACGTATTTCTTGAGATAAAAACACCTACAGCTACTCTGGAAAATTCCTTCTGTGTTCATACTTGGTTCTCGTTCGCTTGAACTCTTGTTTGTGTGCTCAAACATTAGTTCGTAGTCATCGTATCCTGGTAAACGATTGTTGCAACGCTCCTAGCACCGTGGGAGGCAACAAATACGTTTTAAGGACATCGTGCGTAGCACGAGCTTTGACTAATTCTGCTTCATCTCCTTTCTTGTTTTTCCCTAGTCAATTTCTTTAATTAATTTATTTTAATTAATTTCCTTTATTTTCCGAAACACACCCAACACATATGAATACACTTGCATTAGAGATTTAAAGTCCGTTTGGTAATGCTGAGATTGGTCTAATCATCTGTTTATACTAAAATTTATGACGTTCTGTTGAAGTGATGTATTAGCTGATTCTGCTGATTTATTAAAAAAAAATTAAATTATGTTTTAATAATATAAAAAGTTATATGAAAAATAACTGAAATGGTATTCTATAGTAACTTCAGTCAATTCATCTAGAAAAGTAACTTCAACCTTACTTATTTTGATTATTACATAATTCAACTTGCGAAATCAAATGTTACATGTTTGGTGAATAAAATGGCAGATAAGGTTGATAAGCCGGAAAAAAAATATGGTCTTCAAACTGGCTTTTGGATAAACTCTACCTCTTACTTTATGTCATATTGGAGTGCCCCCAATAACAAACTTTTCTGTATCCGCCACTGATATGAAGGACCCCTAGAATCTCTCTACATGTTTAGAAGTGTAGAACAAGGGGTTGGAGGGTGGTTCTAAGACCAAGAACGGACTTAGAAGCCAAAACGACCGGTTCGCCGGAAAATAACCTTTTTGAGGTTATTTGTGTTGATATGGGTTTTATGATGATAAAACCATGTTAGGGGCTTGACTGAAGTGTTTCTAGAGTTCGTCGGAGTTTCACCGAAGTTCGCCGGAGCTTCGCCGGAGTTTCGTCGGAGTTCAACTAAGGAGAGTAGAATCTTCTTAAAGCTCATTTGAGGTGAGTGGATGGCTTATTGTCTTGTAACTTTTGGGTTAAGCATGAGATTACCTAAGTATATGTTATATGTGTTCATAATAATGTTTAAATGAATTAAACATGTGATTAGCCAATTAAAGTGATTAGACTTGTATGAAGTGAACTATTGAAATATGCATGACTTGTGGAGTGAAAATGCTCATAAAAACATATGTGATATGCTTAGAGATGAAGTGTGCATAAAATCGTTATTTATAACTTAGTACATATTGTGACTAAGTTGACACACATTGGATTTGGAATGGAGGGTCAACCGAGAGTTGACCGGCGCCGGTTTGGCCTTACTTTACCTATATGCTAATTTTAATGCATGAGTTGCATGGATGATTTTGTTTAGGCCTTAAGACTTGGTCTAGTCTTGTATATTGATATAGGCCCTATCTAGTATGATATGTGGTAGATCATAGGTCGGGTGGAGTACCCAAGGATCGGGCGGTATCCTCAAAACTCGGTTATATAGGGTGGAGTACCCAAGGATCGGGCGGTATCCTCAAAACTCGGTTATATAGGGTGGAGTACCCAAGGATCAGGCGGTATCCTCAAAACTCGGTTATATAGGGTGGAGTACCCAAGGATCGGGCGATATCCTCAAAACTCGGTTATATAGGGTGGAGTACCCAAGGATCAGGCGTGTATCCTCAAAACTCATAGATTACTATTTAGTAATTCAGGACCGGGCGGTGTCCTTATGATTATTTGATTTGGACAGGAGGAGTCCTATACACTCATAGGTCTATGGGTGGGTTGGGGTTTTAAGTCAAGGACATTGACTACTATTATTTTTCCCAATTAAACAATGACCTACGGGTCGGGTATTTCCAAGTGTATATAAGTACTGATATGTATTTTGTAACTTGGGGTAAGGAAGTATAAGTATATGTATCACCCTATGTTTGGGTCTTATACTTGAAACGTTAGTTACTCTACATTTAGCTTGCTACTCGCTCGGTACTTGTACTGACCCCTTCGGGGGGGCCCACCATTTCAGGTTGAAGCTAGAGCCTGTTGTCTACACATTTGCACGGGATGAAAGAATCTAGAGGAAGACGTGGTTCGTGCTTCCTTTATTATTTTAAATCATAAACTATGCTCATGAATACTTTTGTAATATTACATTGTTTTGGCCCGCGAGCCTACGTTTTGCCATATGTGGCTCATGATTGACCGTTGAATATTTTCCGCTATTCATTCAATCTATGATGTGATGTTGTTATGTATGTTTACTACTGAGTATGGTGTGAACGATGTTCATGAACGCCTTGTGTGATTATGTGAGGTTGACTTGCGAGTGACGTCACTTAATCATACGGCGGTTGTACACGCGCTTAGATGCGGTCGGGGGCGTGACAATTAAGTGGTATGAGAGCCATCTCAGTTCTAAACTATGTAATCATCCTCTCACATGAAATTTTGCAAAAAGGAAATTTTTACCGAAAACCATGAGCATTGTATTTTGACGTTCATAGAACTATTGTTACCTAGGTTGCAAGGCCTCTAGTTGTTAAGATGGTACCCTTAACAATTGGTATGGCGGTGACTTGGGCCGATATGTGTCTATAACGTGTTCCGTCAATTGACATTGATTGGAGTCTAACGACTCGTTCAAATTTCTTTGTAGAAATGGAGGGTAGACGTATGTCGACGAGGAACAAGCCTAGGGGACTAGCTGCGGGAGCCTCTGTGAGGGCTAGCCGAGCCACATCCCTTGGCTCTAGGGGGAGAAGAGGAGGTCGTGTAGGCCGTGGGGGCCACCATGCCCAAACAGTGAGTGATGACCACGTGAGCTCGGTGTATGAGACTAACACCCAGAACTATGATCCAACTTTCGTTCTGGAAACGGAACATGAGGAAACCCCATATGATGGGGGCGATTTCCACACGGATGATGATGACGACAATAGTGAAAGTGATGCCCGTTTTGCTCAGATGGGTGAGCTATTTGAATGGTATCAAAAGGAAAAGGTGAGGAGGGATCTTAGACGCCAAGCTAGGCGTGCCTCTCAAGGCGGATCGGGCCAAGGGAGCCGGGGGGCTTCAAGGGCTGTTTCAGGGGCATCTCGGGATAGACGTGAGGGAGATTTCTGTGTGAGGATCTCCAAATACCTCAAGGAGGCTAGAGCCTTGGGGTGCAGGTCCTTCGACGGCACCGGCGATATTACCGTTGTCACCGATTGGATAAAGAAGGTGAAAGATGCAGCTAGAGACATGCAAATAACACCTGACATGAAGTTGACCGTTGCTTCACGTTTGCTTGAAGGGATATCTTCTACATGGTGGGAGAGTGTGGAAGGAAAGTACCGTGGGAACATCTCATGGGCAAGCTTTGAACAGGAGTTCTACGCCCAATACTACTCGGACTATGAGGTGAATGTGAAGCATAGAGAGTACACGAACCTCAAACAGAAGGAGGGCGTGATCGTCAAGCAATTGGAGCAAGAGTTTAGAACCTTGGCTAGGTTCTTACCAGAGTATGCGGCCGATGAGGACCGCATGACCGAACACTTTTGGGATGCCCTACTGTTGGACATCCGTGATCGGGCCACATACTCACGCCACATGACTTTTAGTGAAGTAGTGGAGCAGGGCATGCTTGGGGAAACCCAATGGAATGATTGAAAGGAAAGGGACGCCGAGGAGGCGAAAAAGAGGAAGTGGAACAATCTGGAGCAACCCGACCATTCACGGAAGAACAACCACGACGGTGGTGGTTCATTTAGACCACCGGCGCCGCCGGCAAAGAAGAGTAAGGATGCAAGGTGGCACGGACCCAGGCCACAGAATCCGGGGGCACCTAGATGCCCCAATTGCACCAAACAACACTTTGGGAAGTGCAATGAACCACCGAGGTGTTTCAAGTACGGGAATGCGGGCCATATGAAGGCCAATTGCCCTCAATTGACTCAAGGAAATGCATCGGGAGCCGGAGGAGGGGCCATGACGGGGAGGAACCGTGCAGGACCGTCACACGGTGGCGCGGGAAGAGGCGGCGCGTCAACGAGCAACGCCGCGTCCGTTAACCAAGGCGGGGCCCAAGCAAGGGTCTGCGCGATGACCGAGGCCGATGCTCGGGCCAACCCCGACTCCGTTGCAGGTAATCCCTTGCCAATGCTTGATAAAATACGTGTATTAATGTGTTAGAAGTGATAACGGGGTTGTACGGGCCGGCCAGTGACCTTGCCGATAGGGACGTGACACACATAGAAGTTGATTACACACACGAGACCACAAATCATGATACTCAATCGCACGATTCTAATACTCAATAACGGAGGTTTGATGATCACTGGAAATGTCTTGATGCTGAACGAACAAAACTTACAATTTTCATATCAATGCTCATCTTGTAAGTTACATATGCTCATTTGTATAAGTCTGATGCTCATTAAAAATTCATTAATGATCATTTAACAGAAATCGTGATTTCCACCGATCTCAATAGAGGATGTTTGATGCTGAATGAAAATGTCGTGATGTTCAACTAACAAACCAACTAACATAATCATTAATGCTCATTTTGTAAGTTACTTATGCACATCTGGTACTGATCTTATGCTCATTTTCTAAATGTCATATCAATGCATTTTTTAAAAGTACTATTTTACATTAGACTCCTAATACTCAACATAATAGGTCTGATGGTCATTAAAAGTTCATTAATGTTCATTCATTAGAAACCATGATTTTCATTTCAATAGCGGATGTTTGATGCTCAATTAAAATGTCGTGATGTTCAACTAACAAACCTTATGATTTTCATATCAATGTATAATTTGTAAGTTATGCATGCTCATTTGGTATTAATGTTATGCTCATTTTTAAAATGTCATATCAATGCATATTTCAAAAGTATCATATTGCATTAGGCTCACCTATTGAAATTACTAAGAGTGGATTATAGATATAATTTAATAAGATTTTATAAAAGAAAAAATAAGAAAAAGAATTAGAAAATATGAAACAGAGATCGTGATACTCATGATTAATCTCCTAATATTCAATAAAATAGATAAGAAAATGTTAACTCATTAGTTATTGGGCTGTTGCGGAGTAATATAGGGAGTATTTACATCAAAACATAAGTACTCCGTATTTCTAAATAAAAAGTCAAAACCCCGGAAAGCGAAAAAAAAGAAAAGAAAATAGAACCACCTCCTTCATCTCTTTTCTCCTCTGATCCAGAAATTCTTCCACAACTTCCTTCACAATTCGTCGAAGGACATTTCTTCTCTCTCCTTTTCCTTACAAGGTACAAAGTTTCTCTCTTTTCCCGTACATGGCCCTGTTATGGTTTCGAGTACACTTTTAATTTCCCCACGATCAAGATTCAAGAATGAGATTGTATCTTTTTCTATCTTCATACATAATTATGTAGATGTATTTATGATATGAGAATTAGGGTTTTCTTTTATCGTCATGATTAACTGATTATGAAGGTGATGTATTTGATATTTGTTTTCCCCTAGTGAAGCTAGGAGGTAGGCAGATATGTCGGAGACTCTGACAGAATCAACGGATTTAGCAGAAACTGAGAATGGCTCGTCTGTCCGGGAAGTTTGGGCAAACGGGGTATGCATGCAAACAGCTGATGTCGAAGCCAAGCTTGATGAGGGTAACATTCAAGAAGCTGAATCCGCTTTGCGTGATGGGTTATCTTTGAACTTTGAGGTTTAGATTTCCAAAACTATGTTCTTTCAAATTTGCAATGTTCTGAAATTCACTTAGCCCTAGTTTGGATGCCTAGATCCCACCAGGTCCTGTAGAATCTTTTTTCTTCAGGGAAGCTTAATGTTAAGACCTGGATTCCATCCTAAAACGTCAACCTGATAGGAGGAGTAGCCCATATCTTAATATATCACTTTGTTGATTCAAAATTTTCTAGTGTGGGATTCTAACACCCCTCCTCACGACCAGACGCTTCCTATAGATTGTGCCGTGGTTCGTCATTGTCATTTTTAATCGTGTCGTCATTTTTCATAAGGGGCCCACACCATGGTTATGGATCGGTTTCTCTGATACCATGTTAGACCATGGGTTCCATCCTAAAAGTTCAACTTGATAGGATGAGTAGCCCATGTCTTAATATAGCACTTTGTTGATTCAGACTTTTCCGGTGTGGGATTCTAACACTTAAGCCGTTTTTAGAACGTTTTGTATATCTGAGTGTTAGGGCAATGTTATTGATCAATTATGGTTCATTTGGCAGCCAGTTTTTGCTTTGGCTTATTCTGCTTCTATGTAGAATAAGGTGGCGTATCCTCTCCTGGTAGCAACTTTTTCAGCTTATCAGCATTACTTGAGCTGATGAGGGGAACATTCAAGTCATCACCAAAAGCATGCCACAATGAATTTGTTTATAATCAAAAGTACGACCAATTATAATCAAAATGAATTTGTTTATAATCAAAAGTCACTGAAGAGGGACCAATTAAACCTATTTTCGTTCTATTTTTCTGTAGTTTATCTAAGAAATACATTGAAATATGATTTTTCATAATTCATCACATTCAGCCATTTGATCTAACTCAAGCAATCAGATTTTTCCAATTCAGCCATTTCAGACATTACCAAATGGGCTGTTAGCAGCTTTCGACTTACTTATGTGACTGAAATGTATGTTCTTGAACGCTCTTCATTCTATAAAATTTAGCAGGTCCCAAGTAACACTTACCAAACGGCACTTACACTTATTCATTAACTAATTCATGATTTGCTGCATCAATACATTGCTGCATATTGCATAATGAAATTGCTAATCACAATGCGGGTTGTAATTAGACAGATTACTTGACTGACTATTATACTATTATTAGGTAATTATTGTGTGTTTATAAATTGGAAGAAGATTACTTAGGTGTCTAGTTGATTCCGCTCTCTTATTGTCGGTCTATAAGCTAACTGTTTGCAGTTAAGAATAGATCTGCATAGCTTAAAACAAGTAGTTGTATGCTGGTACTACTGATCAGCAACCATCTATTCTAAATCTCTAATCAGTATTTTCCATTTTTTTATCAAGGATGTAATCAGTCTAATTTGTGAAAAATCTCTCACAAATCATGATATAAGTTGCTGGATTTAAAATAATTTCCTCTGGACTACTTTTGTTGAATCTTTTTTGTTTTAATTATTTTCTATAAATGAAATATGTCCAAGCATGGGTTATTTGGAGTGAAGGAGGAATGATCCTTCTAGCTGACTGAAATTAGACGTTGCTTGGTAAGAGTTAGTGTGTGCCATGTAATGGAATAAAATGTATATGCAATAAAGGCTCCATTTACTAGCCACTTAGTCTGTTTATCAGAGTATTCAGAATAAGTAGATCTTGACGTGGAGTGTGTTTTCGGGTGCCCTGTCTTCAAGGAAGATGTGTTTTACTAATATACTCCATTCTTTAACAAATGGCCCCTTAAATTTACACTAGTATGTTTAGTTTCACTGCATGACATGTTATTACGATGTCACCAATAACATGTTAGTACGTTACTGTGTGTACTTTAGAGAGGATTGAAGGTTGTTTCTTGATATGATTGCAGGAAGCACGAGCTCTATTGGGCAGGTTGGAGTATCAAAGGGGAAATGTGGAAGGTGCTCTACGTGTGTTTGATGGCATTGATCTTCATGCTGCCGTACAGAGAATGCAACCTTCTACTGAGAAACAACAATCTTCTAAAAAACACAAACCGAAGAGTGACTCCGGATCAGCCGTCTCTCAGCATTCTGCAAGTTTGGTGCTCGAGGCCATTTATTTGAAGGCCAAGTCTCTCCAAAAGCTTGGGAGATTAACCGGTATGGTTCCATGTTAGGGTTCTGGGACTGAGAACGGGTCCAGGGGCGACTTGGGGTAGCAGGGTACCCGGGTGAAGTGGTAACCTGCCTGCTAGGGTTACTCCTCTTCTTGCCCGTGGCTGGAAGAGCGCAGTAACAGCGCAGGGGAAGGGGGGAAGTCCGTGACTTCTCTGGGATTAATTCTTCTAATGATCGATGGTTTTATTAATGCTGAATAATGAGTATAAATAGGCAGCCTGCCTTTACATGATAGAGTTCTACTCTAACTAAAACTGTAACTTCCAACACTTCTATTACTAATAGGAAACAATAAATAAATAAATAAAATATAAAGATAACATCAAACTGGACTCCTAATTAATTAAAACCCTAAAAATGCATCCGTAACATTCCATTCCTATGTGTTATAATCTTAAAAAATATTTATGAGATAGGAAAGGACAAACCTACATACAGTGATCTGTTGTCCCCTTGTTTGGTTGGGGGAATTTCAAGGGGAGGTGTGATAATTGTTTTATTAATTTATTCTTACATTAGATAAAAAATTACTACCTACATGCTATAAAAATGAAGATTAAAAGTATAGATGGATAGTGGTACTGAAATATCCTACCTCCGTCCTATAAAAAGAGTCATGTTGGACCAATGTATGACTTTTTAATTTCGAACAGTCATAAATCATGAATCAAAATTTTAATTTTAAGATTTGTTTGTTGGATTAACGAAATCTATGATATGTAACCTTTTTGTGACTGCTTTTGGTATTGTTTTGGCAGATTACATGAAAAATGAGCGTCATTTGAACAAAGTGGTTTTTTTTATAGAAAAAGACGTGTTTAAAAAGTGAATCAATTTGGAGGGAGAGGGATATTGCTAAGGATACCGATATTTTCTTATCTAAGACTAACAAACATGTATGAAGTATAAATTATATTTAAATAAATATCGATACTTACTTAAATACTTCCTCTCCTACAAAATCTTCTTCACCATACAAGGGGTAAATAGGTCAATGTTAGTTTCTTACCATTGTTTTGCAAGGGAGTAACATGAGGGAGATGGCTCACACGTTATTATGCACCATTGTTGCTAGAAGTTAGTGTAAGTCTATGTTTGTTTATTTATGTTTCTAATTTTATTATTTACAGAACTTTCTTTGGATGGGATTTTGTAGAGGCTGCCAATGAGTGTCAAAGCATACTGGATGCAGTGGAGAAAATATTCTCCTCTGGTATACCTGATGTCTTGGTTGAGAATAAGCTTCAAGAAATAGTTAGCCATTCAGTTGAGCTCCTTCCAGAGCTATGGAAACAAGCTGGATCCTACCAGGATGCAATGTCAGCTTACAGACGTGCCCTCTTAAGCCAGTGGAACCTTGACAATGAATGCTGTGCAAGGATTCAGAAAGCGTTTGCCGTTTTTTTGCTATACAGCGGAGTTGAGGCGGGCCCCCCGAGTTTATTTGTCCAGATCGACGGCTCTTATGTGCCCAGAAACAATCTGGAAGAGGCAATTCTTCTTCTGATGATCCTCATGAGGAAGTTTTACCTCGGGAAGGCGACGTGGGATCCTTCGGTTCTAGAACACCTCACTTTTGCTCTATCTGTATGCTCCCAAACCGCTGTTTTGGCAAAGCAGCTCGAAGAAGTCATGCCTGGAACGCTTAATCGGATTGAACGGTGGAAGGCTTTGGCTCTTTGCTACAGTGGGGCTTGCCAAAAGCCTACCTCTATGGATCTGTTGAGGAAAACACTACATCCAAACGAGGACCCTGATGACATCATGTCATTATTGTTGGCATCAAAGATTTGTAGTGAAGACGTGCTTCTTGCTAGCGAGGGTGTGAAATATGCACGGAGGGCTATATCCAATACCGAAGATCTAAAAGGTGTTGGTCTTTGTATGTTAGGGCGGTGTTTGGCGAACCAAGCCAAAATCTCCTCATCCGATTCTGAGCGGTCCCATCTCCAGTCCGAAGCTTTGAAGTCACTAGAAGGTGCGATTGCCATAGAGAGGGAGAACACGGATCTGATATTTGAGCTCGGGATTCAATATGCAGAACACCGTAATCTGAATGTAGCATTGCGGTACGCCAAACAGTACCTTGATGCAACGGGAGGATCAGTGATAAGAGGTTGGAGATTTCTTGCGTTGGTTCTTTCCGCTCAACAACGGTACTCGGAGGCAGAAGTGGTGATTGATGCTGCATTGGACGAGACGTCAAAATGGGATCAAGGACCACTGCTCCGATTGAAAGCGAAGCTGAAGACTTCTCAGTCGCATCATACGGATGCCATTGAGACTTACCGTTGCCTTCTTGCATTGGTCCAAGCTCAAAAGAAGTCTTATGGACCTCTGCGGAGTGCACCTCAAGTAAGTAAGATAATGTACCAGCATTGTGGTCATAGGCGCTTAGGTCCCTCCCCATACACCCATGCTTTGCTTGTCTAAAGAGAGAAATGTGAAGCAAAGATGTAGGGGAGGAAAAAGTATGAGGGAAGAGATGACCAGTCTCTCTTTCATACGTTTCAGAGCCTCAGAGGTAGGAAATCAAGAAATGAGTAGTAAGAAAAGACAAATTTTCTTATAAAGCCAAATTTGTTATTTATCCTCACATGATGTAATTTGAAGGTTGTGAAAAACGTAGCAATGTCCAAATGATAATTGTTCTGTATTTTCTCTGCTTGCAAACTTTTTGTACACACTTCTGCAGAGATTGTTCTGAGGGGGATGAGTCCCACATGAATAATCTCTTTCCAAAAAACATCTCTCTCTCTCTCTCTCTCTCTCTCTCTCTCTCTCTCTCTCTCTCTCTCTCTCTCTCTTCCTCCCTCCCCCTCCCTCCCTCCTGCTTCTCTCTTCTCCACTTCTTTTTTCCTAAATTCATGCTAAACAAACAAAATGTTTGATCCTGCCTAATTGCACTTCAGCTTGAGCAGGCGCTATTCCTTAATTCGTTTGACTTTCTACAACACTTACAGGCAATAAGGATGTTTTTACTTGGACTGTAATTTGCTGGTCTGGTCTGGTCTGGTTTCTTTGTATTTTTATAACTATCTAAGTCTAGTCTGGTCTGGTCTGGGAGGAATTACAGTCCAAGTAAAAACATCCTAAGTCCATTCTCTAGCATTTCCTGATCTGTTGAATTTCTCTTGGCAGGTGGAGGAAGCTAAGGTGAATGAATGTGAAGTTTGGCACGGTCTGGCCAATCTGTACTCTAGTCTCTCACGCTGGCAGGATGCAGAGATATGCTTGGCAAAAGCTAGAGCTCTTGTTGAGTATTCACCGGAAACTCTACATATAGAAGGCACGTTTTTATTTACTGTATTACAATAAATTCTCTGAGAGCTATTTTAAGCTTCATTTACAAAAGCATTTACTCCGTATTTTATTAATAGAAAAAATGACATGCATATTACTAACCGAGTTTTGCCGGACAAAACTATGACTACTTGTGTTTTTGGACAAAAATATGACTAGTGATTGTGTACGAGTAACTCAATAAGAGTCACTATACACTATAGTGTATTTCGAAGTAACAAGTGAGTGGTAGAGGATAAGTTACTGAGAACTAGTCACTACATATATCACTTTCTTTGAAAATTTTAAAATAAGTCATATTTTTGTGAAGAAAAATTCATCAAAAATTAGCAATGGAATTAATAAAGAATTAAATAAATCAAAACCTGTGAAATTTTAGGTCCTAGATTGATAGTTTTTAATCATTTGGGCCCTATATCAACACATTTCATCTTTCCGGTCTCGGGTTGATAATTCACATTTTGTTTTGTTTCTTTCTAGGTTACAACCAAAAACACAATATTTATTATCATTCCATTCTCTTTCCATATCTATTTCCTTAGCGTTTCTATGAATAATGGTGTATGTAGGTGTCATGCATGAAAGACGGGGAGAACCCAGTAAAGCCATGGCGGCATATATAAACGCCATGTTACTAGATCCAAATTATGTGCCTTGCAAGATATTGCTTTGTGCTTTGGTGACTACGATGGGCCCCAAGATGCAGCCAGTAGCAAGAACGCTACTCTCCGATGCACTCCGGCTTGATCCCACTAACCGAATGGCGTGGTACTACATGGGCTGTGTTCACCAGAACGATGGTCGGATTGCTGATGCTGCTGACTGTTTCCAGGCAGCTTCAATGCTTGAAGAGTCAGATCCGGTTGAGAGCTTTAGTTCCCTTTTTTAAAATAAAACCCACTTGAAAAAATGGTTGAAATCGTTCATTCTTTCATTCTTTATTTATTCATCCAGACTTTTGTATAATCTCATTTAGAAATGGTTATCATATTTACAGGATAGTTTTCAGTCTATAATGGGAAAGTTTTTATTCATACGAAGTATTATGTTGAACAAAAAAACACATATGATATGCCGATTAAAAAGTGCACTCTATACTTGCATAATCACGTATTGTGCTGAACCAAAAGGCAGGTGAGGTTCTGCTAGTGAATAAAATTTTCATGGATTTTATTTCATGAAATAGTTTTTTAAAAAAAAACTAACGAAATAGTCATCATTTGGCAATTGTTTTTTCTACCTGTTACTGCATTCTTTGATCTACCTGTATGTATGGGTGGACTCGAGCCGGGTGGCCCGACCCGGAACTGGCCCGGGACCGGTACTGTTCTGGCCCGGTCCGAACCGGTGGTCAGGGACCGGTCCGGGTAGGCTTGGCCCGGTGGTTTTACGGTGCGGACTCGGGTCCCCCAAATGATGAACCGGCCTGGCCGGGCCTGGTTCCGGGCCTTTTTCTTCTTCTTTTTTTTTTTTTCAATTTTTTTTTATTTTTCTGGGTTGGGTTGGATGTTTTGGGCCATTTGGGGTGGTTTGGGGGCTGGGGCTGGGGGGGGGGGGGGGATTAGGGGATTAATTAGAAAATTATAAAAAAAAATAGGAAGTGGTCTGAGGTCCGGCTTGACCCGGACCCGCCGGCCACCCGGGTCGGTTCCGGTTCACACATTTTCAAATAAAAGCCTGGCCGGGCCCGGGCCCGATCCGGAACTGGCCCGGCCCGAGTCCACCCATACCTGTATGCATTATCTTTCAAGTGATGCCAATTGGAAAATTCTAAACTATTTCCTTCAATGAGTAGTTTCATTGGACTTTTTTAGCAGCATATTCTACCTTTACATTCATAGCTTTTGAGAAGCAATTTGTGAAGAGTGCCGATATGGGTCGAGGAGAATGAAGACAACGCTAGCTTAGTCCACAAGCTAGGCAAGTTAGGTTACACTAATCAAGAGTTTGTTTGTTTTAGTATTGTGTTTAAAAGGTAGACTTGAAAATTGGATTCATGTCACCCACAATTTTCATGGCTAAGGTAGACTTGAAAATTCCCTTTTTTGTTTTTTATTTTGCAGCCTGAGTAGGATGTAATAGTTCGGGGTGTTTCGGTACGGTATAATGGATATTTTATCTCATACCTTTATCGTACCGTAAATTTTCGGATTGCAGAAATACTGTTAAGTGTGTTGGTGCAGGCTCTCGTCTAGGGTCTGCTTGACATGGAAAGGATATAGAAAGGAATAATTTTCTTTTCCCGGGCAATACTGAAAGAAGGCAAGGGTCGTCCTTGACGAGTCCCGGAGAATGAGATGAGACTTGCCTTTAGCAATGCTCAGTCGTTTAGGGTGAAAATTGCATCCTTTATTCCTCCAGGATTCTGCCAATATATAGAGTTGATTCTACAATCAATTCCTTTATTCTATTCCAAACAAATCAGTAAATTATTTAATACGGAGTATCTATGATTCTTTCTATTCTTGTAGTCTGCTACCCCACTAATTATGGATTGCTTTCCTTCGATGTCTTATGTTCCAAAAGGAATCTGTAACAAATACATACGGTTACCTTACCAACATTTTGGTATACCTTATTTTGGTAGAAGTTTCGGTACGACAAATGTACGATATCGATAAATTATCATGATTTAATATAACAAATCATTATGTGCCAAATTAAATATGCAAAATGAGTGTTAGTAGTGAGATACTAAAATCTTTAATGAAATTAAATATAAAATAGTAATGATAACTTATTGATGTTCTATTCAATTTTGAAAAAATTTATTATAAATATGTTTAGATATTTTAACACATGATATATGAAGACATCACATTCTCCTAAAATAATTTAAGCGACATAAGTATAAATAAAATGACACCGATCTTCAACAAGAAGTATAAATAATTCAACAAACATGAATATAAGTTATAAAGAACATATTGTCTTGGACTTTTAGTATGGTGGTATACCGACATGCCATTTATTTTCAAAATATATACTGATACCATACCAAATTAATTCGGTATGGTATCATATCGTACCGAAAGTTTCGGTATACCAAACATTTCGGAAAATTCAGTATTTTTTATATGTTAAGTGTGGTATACTGAAATTTCTTGTTTCCCCACCCCCAATAATAAAGATGGTTGAGGAGAGCTATTAAGATAGAAAACCAACCCACAACATGCATTTGGTAAGTCGAAAAGTAGCTTAATAATTATGTTACATCATATATCATGAGCAACTGCTTTAATGTAATAGAAAGATGTAACATCAAATCTAGACCACCACTTCCACCTCCAAGCTGCATGCGCTAGCTAGCTAGCCCGTACATTCTTTGTGAAGAATTTGATATGCAGTGGATATGAAATGTGAGTTTTTGTAATATGTTTGATACTTCGATACTCTCAATGATGATTATAAGTGGTTATATACAGGGTCGGCCCTTGCCAAGTCTAACAAGTGCACTTTCACAGGGCCCATAAATTTGGAAGGACAAAAATTAAAAAATTTATACTAGTACTCTATGTTCTATAAGGCCGAAAAAGGCACCTTTAAGAAGGGCCCAAATAAGCAGCTCATTAGCTTAGGCCTTGATTCTACTTCCGCATGGAGAAAACTAATTTATACACAATTACTAGAGTTGAGTTCTTCTCCACCATCCGTGTGAGAAATTTGAATTGGAAATGAAGACTATGAAAATCAAAACTTACTGCATGCTCTGGTGAATTTTATAAGCGGGTAGTCCCTTTTAATTAATTCTCTTCATTCATCAAAGGAACAATGATTTGTTATGGCATAGAATTTTCCTTGGTAATAATGGAACATATGATTCTCCTAGAGTAATGAAACTAGAGTCGGTTTGATACTCATATTTCCATTTTATCAGCCTTATCACCCAACTATTTTATCAAATACATAATTTTTGACTTCACATACTAAATTGTGTAACGATCAAAATAAGTTAGATTACAGTTACTATTCTTGTTAAATTGACTGAAGTTACTATAATCTTATATATGGAATCTAATACGAGGTAGTAAAAACAACAATATATCATTTTGTAATTTGTATTACACTTTTTATACATATAAAAAATTATATATATTGAGCAAAGTAAAAGTTAGGCCCATAAAATAACCGGAGAGAACTTTTCCCAGAGTTCTATTACTATTACTGGGTGGCTTCGCGATTTCTTATGGGCACAAGCCTCCAAAGTAATTCAGTCCTATGGTTCTTCATTATCTGCATATGGACTTTTTTTCTTGGGTGCTCACTTTGTATGGGCTTTTAGTTTAATGTTTCTATTCAGTGGACGTGGTTATTGGCAAGAACTTATAGAATCCATAATTTGGGCTCATAATAAATTAAAAGTTGCTCCTGCTACTCAGCCAAGAGCCTTGAGCATTGTACAAGGACGTGCTATAGGAGTAACCCATTACCTTCTGGGTGGAATTGCCACAACATGGGCATTTTTCTTTGCACGAATTATTGCAGTCGGATAATGGCTAGGAGGATTTGAAAGGTGCTATGACATTAAGATTTCCAAGGTTTTGCCAAGGCTTAGCTCAGGACCCCACTACTCGTCATATTTGGTTTGGTATTGCTACTGCACATGACTTTGAGAGTCATGATGATATTACAGAGGAACGCTTTTATCAGAATATTTTTGCTTCGCACTTCGGTCAATTGGCAATAATTTTTTTGTGGACTTCTGGGAATCTATTTCATGTAGCTTGGAAAGGAAATTTCGAGTCGTGGATACAGGACCCTTTACATGTACGACCTATTGCTCATGCTATTTGGGATCCTCATTTTGGTCAAACGGCCGTGGAAGCTTTTACTAGAGGGGGTACCCTTGGCCTGGTGAATATCGCTTATTCTGGTGTTTATCAGTGGTGGTATACAATTGGGTTACGCACTAATGAAGATCTTTATACTGGAGCTATTTTTCTATTATGTATTTCTACCATTTTCTTAGTAGCAGGTTGATTACACCTACAACCTAAGTGGAAACCAAGTGTTTCATGGTTCAAAAATGCCGAATCCCGCTTAAATCACCATTTGGCAGGACTCTTTGGCGTAAGTTCCTTGGCTTGGACAGGGCATTTAGTACATGTTGCGATTCCTGCATCCAGAGGGGAGTACGTTTCAATGGAATAATGTATTAGATGTATTACCACACCCTCAAGGATTAGGCCCCCTTTTGACAGGTCAGTGGAATATTTATGCTCAAAATCCCGATTCAAGTATTCATTTATTTGGTACCTCCCAAGGAGCAGGAACTGCCATTCTACCGTTTCACGAAGGATTTCATCCCCAAACGCAAAGTTTATGGCTGACTAATATGGCACACCATCATTTAGCGATTACATTTCTTTTTCTCGTTGCTGGTCATATGTATAGAACTAATTTTGGTATTGGGCATAGTATAAAAGATCTTTTAGATGCACATATTCCTCCGGGAGGACGATTAGGTCGTGGGCATCAAGGGCTTTATGACACAATCAATAATTCACTTCATTTTCAATTATGTCTTGCTTTAGCTTCGTTAGGTGTTATTACTTCCTTAGTAGCGCAACATATGTACTCTTACCTGCTTATGCATTCATAGCACAAGATTTTACTACGCAAGCTGCATTATATACCCATCACCAATATATCACAGGATTCCTTATGACTGGAGCTTTTGCTCATGGAGCTATTTTTTTAATTAGAGATTATAATCCCGAGCAAAACCAAGATAATGTATTGGCACGAATGTTAGATCATAAAGAAGCGATCATATCTCATTTAAGTTGGGTTAGTTTATTCTTGGGATTTCACACCCTTGGACTTTATGTTCATAATGATGTAATGCTTGCCTTTGGTACCCCGGAGAAGCAAATCTTAATTGAACCTCTCTTAATTATTAATAGAAATCTAATACACATTTTCACGCCTAGGATACGCCTATATATTTCAACCTAGGCTTCAAAGGCTCGAGGCTTGGCCTCAGCGTCTTGCCACACCTCATCGCCCTCACGCTTTTTAGAACACCACTAATACTATGTATGACATATCAGCCCAAGTTCAAGGAAAACAAAACAAAGAGAGAGAGAAGTAAAGAACGGCTTT